CACTCTCTCTGCCTGATTTGAATGTAACCAGTCTAGGCTTTGGGATGCCGTATGATGTTGCCACAATCATCTCCATCAGGTTTGGCTGATTCACTTCTGCTGTCGACTGTAAGGGAGTTGTAGTTTGATATATATCTGGAGGTGATGAATATGTTACAGGATAATGGTGGGGGATGTCAGCAGATGGAGCTGCATAAAGCTGGCTGCAGTTCTGTTGTGCTGCCGCTCCCTGTAATGGCTGATACAGCGGTGTGGCAGAGGCTGCTGGGGGGTTATATGATGATGCAGCGTCTACTTGGTCAGCATGGCTTGGTAGTTGCTGATGATGGTATCTCTGCCTGTAGAGAGACTCAGCCTGATATGATTTGGGTTTCTTAATCTGCATGGATTGTGCTACTTGGATGTCAGGTTGTAGAACAGGCTGTATTACATGTCTCACTCTAGGCGGTGGAGCTGGCAACGATGCTTGCTGGATTTCTGGATGAACCGGAAGGCCTCTCGACTGTAGAACAGGTGAAGGTCCAGACCGACCTACTGGCTGGAAGGCTGTGTTCATCCAAGGCTGGGACGCAGGTGATGACTGCAACACATGCTGCAGTGCTGCAAGTTCATCTGGCTGTGGATCTAATGATGCAGCATCTTGTATTGGTCTCAGTAGGTTTACAGGTGTTCTGTTGTCCTGCCTTGCTGGTGTCACAACGCTCAACTGATCCTAGCGTGATCCCTGGCGTCACTGCTATGTGTTCACACCGCTAGGCTGTGATTGGAATGCAGGAAGGGATTCTGCTCGGTTATGTTGTTGAGTGTGACTGTGTGGCAAGAGAGGGCTGCATGACTTACATGTTCTCTCTAGTTGATCCACACGCCTGGATAATGCACCACTGGTCTCCTTCATGGTGATTTGCATCTGATTCATTGTTGCTAGAATGTTGCCCCATACTTCTTCCATTTTGTCCCATCGTGTGTGGCAAGAGAGGGCTGCATGACTTACCTTTATCAGATTCTCCTGAGCTGCTGCTTGTTGACAACTCTGACTCCTCTGGATCAGATAGGTCATGTTCATACTCCGCCAGATGTCCAGGAAGCTTCCTGTTCCTACGTGGACGGGGACTATGCTGGTGACTTTTTCTCCTCAGGAGTGTTGTCTGGTGATGTTGCCATGGTGTTGATTCAACCAATGAAAACTCCGGCTCGAAGGACCATTTGTAAGAACTCTGTGTGCGTCAGACAGGCACTAATTCAGATCTCTCATCAATTGAATCTTCCTCTGTTAGAAGGAATAGGCAACTCCGCAGATGCAGCTTCGAAGGTTTATTGTAGACTGACAAGCATCGATGAATATGGGATGAAAGGTGGTACAGTAGATGAGTTTATGTATGTGTATGTGGGTGTGTGTGGTTATCTGAAACAGAAAAAACAATAAAGTTACATTAATAACTATGCGAGTAAGAACGGCTACACATAGGTATACAACAAAGAATGGTATGCAGCACCACACAACTCCTCCAGAGGGCACTACAATACCATCGGTAAATGTAAGCACACTAATGACAAAACTGTCAGAAATACAAGTTAGTGTTAAATACTTTACGTAATAATAATAATACAATAATATATATGTCATATATAACCGAGTATAGCACAACCTGAACTATTACAGATAATTTCCTGTACCGTCGGCAGCCAAACACGAGGATGTCCCCACCTCCTGTGCTAACAATCGACATAAACACCAATATCGTATATGAAACGGCACACTTACATCATATAGAACGCATACAGGTTTTACACAAACAGGATAAAAAGGGATTGATGGTGGATGTCACCCGCACGCCACTCCTTACAACAGTAACACAGGAACATGAGATCAAAAAACTAGCCCAGCTATGTGCAACGATAACAAGCAAAGGAAACACAGATGCACCATGGGTAATGTAGTTGTACCAGAACGGACAGACTTTTAACAAAATGTAAAAAAAAAAAAAAAAGCAAAATATAAATAAACTGTACAACAGGAAGCTTTTATAATTTCCATTCATCCATCCATTTTCCGGTCACCCTTCTCCCTAACGGGGTCGGGAGGTGCTGGTGCCTATCTCCAGCTGCGTTCCGGGCGAGAGGCGGGGTCACCCTGGACGTCGCCAGTCTGTCGCAGGGCAACACAAAGACAAACAGGACGAACAACCATGCACACACACACTCACACCTAAGGAGAATTTGGGAAGGCCAATTAACCTGACAGTCATGTTTTTGGACTGTGGGAGGAAGCCGGAGAACCCGGAGAGAACCCACCCATGCACAGGGAGAACATGCAAACTCCGTGCAGAAAGACCCCGGGCTGGGAATCGAACCCAGGACCTTCTTGCTGCAAGGCAACAGCACCACTGTGCAGCCCCCTTTTATAATATAGTGGTATGAAATGGTTTTGTTAAAAGTTAATATTGGCAAATAATCTTTGACATCCAATCAGCATTAATACTGATTCAGCTGAGGTTGGTGTCACAAGATTCACTGTAAAAACACAAAAACAAGCTGGAAAACCCCATATATTTATTTCTATTGTCTGTTCCCACAGAATGTAATGAAGACGTATCAGATTTTCACTGTGAACCATAGAACAGAAACAACTGTTTTAACTGAAACGAAATAATGTGCAGACATTTTGACTCAATTGAAAGGTCAAATGTTGAAAGGTCATTCAGTGTCAGATTTACAAATTGGTGTTTTCCTCACAGTCTCATATAAAGTCCTCTCACAACTGACCAATCAGGTTTTCAGTCAGGGAAACAAACTAAAAGTTAAGATTTATTATCAAAAGTTAAATTAAATTAGTTGAATTAGGAAAATTTTATTCATGATTTACCTAAAGCTGCTGTCAGATGAAGAGAATTATAAATGTTGTGTCTGAGGGCAAGTTAAAGAGTTATTGCCTGAGAAAACACATGAAGGAGAGAAAGAAAGAAAAAAACACTAAAGACAAACATGGCGGACCTCCAACTGCTTAGTTCAGATTTACAGAGAAACAGTGACACCCAGCGGTGAAACTTAAAATGACAGGAAGCGTGTTCTGGAATTTGCTCCAGTTTTCCATCGTTCATTTTGCTCATTATTCTGCTGTATCAGATCAATCAGACCTCCTAATTAATAACAGAAGAGCTTCAGGCATTAATACAAGTCAGTCGGATTCAACTCAGGAGAAAAAATAAGAAAGCAAAAAGTAAAGTTATTTAATTATACAGAAAATGCACCATCTAATTATTTTCCAAAACAAGCAATGCTCTTGCTTTTAACTCTTCCTCTTTTAGTCCATTAAAGATCAAGTTTCCTATTAACAAGCTGCTTTAGGAGAAACCTAAAACCATGTTAGACATTATAAACAAAAAGGTTCTGAGATTTGATCCATTTATCAGCCACAAAACAAAGTTCAGTCTTCAAACTGCACTTCACTGAACAACATATTTGTTTCCTACAAACATGATTGTATTCTCAGTGCAAACCAGTTATTCCTGACAAAAAATGTAGATTTTTTGTTAGGAATTGATTAGTTGTATGTGTTGAAATGTTTGTCAGTGTTTATTACCTAAAAATAATCACACAACAGAATACAAAGCAACAAAATATGGTACAAAATGTAGACATTAAATAATTTTTATAATAACAAAAGTCACTAAAATATTCAGGATCAGCTTGGAATGACTTACAAAAAGGTTTTAATTCCTGAATATCCATTTTACATAAGTGACTTAAAGTAACTCATGGTCTCCTCTGATGATGTTGAACATCTTTAAACAAATAATCCACTTCCTGCTTTAAGAGACAAAACCTTGTAAAGATAAAGTCTGAAAACTCTCTCTGTTTTGTCAGAATCACCTCAAACCACCAACAGTGTGACCAGGAATTTATCGACTGTGTAACAAAACCCAGTTAACGTCGTCATTTAGATCCTCTTCCAGGTCTCTGGTTTCCTGGATTCTCTCTGAAACCAGCAGAGGCAGAAATGCAACATGAACGCAGCCGGCTGAGGCCTGGTTCTTCAATCTCTTCGTTCTGCAGAACGACTCCTCCTGCATCTGGATTTCTATCTTTACGTAACGCTACGTATCCATGAAGAATAAAATCAAGTGATGGTTTTAACCAGGTTTCTTGAATACAGACTGTATTTGGTTTAACATTCTGTCTTTCAATAAAATTTTTAAACTCTTGGCCATTAACAATTAAACTTCTAGCATTCCACTGTAATATGGATAAAACCATCAAATCATTTCTGGATTGTTGATTTTCATTTATCCTGGTTGTTAAAACTTCACTGATTGACTCCAAAGGCAAGTCTTCCATCTCCAGGTATTTTTCTGCTGCTTTAATTATTATTATTTTACTTCTCTTTGTTACTATCAGTCTGTGCTGAACAACATTTTACTTCCACAATAAATGCAACAAACTTCCTCTTCTCCACAATCATTGTACTTCCTAGGATTCTGGTTTTGCTTTTGCTCTGTTATTGAGATGGAGTTCAGGGCACAGAAATGCTTTTAGCATTAACATTTAAATTACTTACCATCTCTTAACGTTTTGACTGCTTTCTCCTCACCTACTACTTTATTTATTGCCTCACTTATTTTTAAAGGATTCAAAGCACATGGGTTCTGGAATCTAAGAATCATTTTAATTTCATTTCTTTTATCTTCCTCTCCTTTTTCTTCATCAGATCCTTTTCTTATTTCCTGGGTTCACTGTTTGCCAGTCTCCTGTTTTCTCAGTTCCTTTACTACAATTATCTGAATCATCTAATTCTTCACATTCATCCATCAGACTTTCTTGTTTAAAATAATCTACAAATTAACTCCAAACACTTCTGTCACTTTAACTTTTACAAACAAAACTTCCCTTCCTGTAACCAGCCATCATGTCAAGACATGACGCTTTGATGCTGACCCCGCCCTTTCCAGCTCTCCTGCTAAAACTATTTGATTCATGTTCTGTCTTGTCCAAGACTCACTCTGTTCCTCCTGGGTTCCCATAAACACGTCTCAGCCTCTACCGCCTCGCCAGATTAGCAACAGCCAGTAGAGGTCCAGCAGTTCCTTTCAAGCCTTCAGTGTTTCTTTGACCTTTTTCTGTCCACGGATTGACCTCTCCTGCCAAGCCTCTCATGGATCCCTTTTGTTCTGGATTTCTGGACCCTGATCCAAGCTTTCCCTCACGACCACAGAGTATTGCCTGCTCCTCAAGCTAAGTTTGCTCTTTCTGTCCTCCTGTGTAAGACCTCTGCCTGATTATCGTCAAAGGCCCTGGGTGTCGCCTCTTGGATCTCCTTGTGGAGATCTTCATCGCTTCCACAGTAGCCTGTTCTACCTGGTTTCCTGCAGCTCCCTGTCAGACCCTTGGTTTATCTGCTCCACCCGTCCACAACTCTAAAGGTCAGTTAAGCTGAACATTTCTGAGAAACCCCTCCTGTATCTGCATCACCTGCCTTCTCCCCTCTCTTCTCAGTGCTGTTTGACGACCTCAACCTGAGTAGCAACCTGAGTTCGTGTGTGTGTGTGTGTGTGTGTGTGTGTGTGTGTGTGTGTGTGTGTGTGTGTGTGTGTGTGTGTGTGTGTGTGTGTGTGTGTGGAGGGGGGTGGTTGAATTTCCAGGTCCTCACTGAGTGTCCTTACAAAGTCCAACTGAAGACTATCTAATAGTAAAAAAAACAAAAAGTAACAATAAAATAACAGAGTTATTTCAACAGAGGTTATTTCAACAGAGTTTATTTTATTGTGAGCAGATCCAAACAGGTCCAAACAGTCATCAGAAAGGAATGTTTGTTTCAATTCTTCCTCCCATCGATTCACTTTTCCAAGAACTTGACCTACCTGTTAAAGAAAGACTGACATGTTTGACAGAAGTTCACAGATCCAGATGCCAAAGCAGGAGAACCAAACTGGACCCAGTAACCCAACACATCCTCCACTACATGGAGGTAGAGAGTGATCTTTGGGTCGGTTTGCCCAGAAGAAGCAGATTCTCCTGGGTTTGTTTCAAACTCCAAACTCAGGAAAAATCAACAGAGTTCTGTAATTATCTATGAATAATGATGGTGTCGGCACAGGCTTCAGGAAACGCTCCAACAGTCCTGATCTGGAACATTCCTAAGTTGTTTTTCATTTCTGACGGCACCAACCGAAAAGAGGAAAAATGCAAAACCATCCAAATGTTTAACCGATGAAGCCAATCAAGCCAGATTTCAGAAATCCTGCAGAATAAAATAAATCATGCAGAATAAAAACCCCATAAAATGAAAGGAAATGTTAAAATGAAGCAGGTAACTTAAAACTAACAGATGAAAACACATTATCAATATGTCAGAATATTTGTCTGAAATGATTTTTGGGTTTTGATCTAAATGACTTTGACAATTAGAAACACATCAGTTCAGCTAACTGCTGTAGTTCTTTTTTTTTTTTTTGAGGACCATAAAATCCAAACCAGCCCGATCACAAGACCTAACATGATATATTAGACACTGGTGCAATCATTTTCAATAATCAATAGTTGCTGTAGGATCAAAAAGACAGATAATTGTCCCCTGTTGGCTTGCTGTATTTTCAATCAAGTAGTGATCAAAGAATGTTTTGTGTTTCTGCTGCTCTGACCAGGTTTTCTGTTTTTGTTTATAGACTTTTTTTTTTATCCCTGTACTAATGGCTCGGACAAAAGAAAAGGTTTTCTGTCTCAGGAAATGTAAGTATCTATTTTGATATCCTCAAATTTAACGTATCTATTTACTCGTTTTAGAAAATGTTCTACCTAAGTTCAATGCTGAATCACAGTTTGGTGCCATAAAGACTTATATTTGTTTACCGATCTTAATCCATGGATATTTACTGTTGGCTATCAGTGAAAAACCTTAAATAGTTTGTGATTAATACAAGTACCCACACAGCCATGCATTCACAACTTGTTCACTTTCTGGCTTGATTAGTAGACAGTTCAGGCTTAAGGAATCATTTATTAGTCTTTATCACGAAACCTCTGAGATCAGTTTGAAAATGACTAATTAGTGGTTTCTCTGCAAATAAATGGATTAAATTTACCTTGATTGATGGATTATATCTTAAAGAAATTAAATAGTGCATGATCAAAAACCTTCTTCTTTCAGAAACATATTGCTGATAACCTGGTGTTTTACTGACTAAACTGGACTGAATGTTTAGCAGAGACATTGGAAAAGGCTTTCAAATAACCAAGAGACGTCTGAGTGAAAATCTATGAGATGTTGATCGAAACACTGATTGGTTTTCATGTTGTGTCTCATAGGGACAAGAGTTATGGCTTTCATCATGTTCTCTTTACGTCTCTGTGGTCAGTTTTCACTTTCATTTCAACAAGATCATAAAATAAATGTTACAAACAGCTTAATGTTTGATTTTGGACATGAGTGAAAAACAATAAAACTATTTTTATGTCCTCAGTTTCTCTCTCTGTCTTCTCAATACCAGAAAATGGAGTTCAGAATTTCGGTAAGTAGATTATTTAGAGGTCATAAAATCAAAGTTAGTTGTAATAACAAAGGTTTGATATAATTGCCTATTGTCCTGTTTTTCTGACTGTCTGTAACTTTTATCTTCATTAGTTCCAATAGATGTAAATGTGACACAGAAGTTATATCATGCTGAGAAGAATCACAACATCACAGTGGATTTCACCTACACCTTCAAACCTCAGTGCTCCAAAAACTTCTGGCTTGTTTTCTGCAACCGAATAGAGGATCACGAGGTTTTTTACCAGTATGTTGAAGTTGATGGTAAGAAAGTCTCAGAGTCTCAGGATGATCAGTTTTCAGGACGAGTCCAGAGCGACAAAGACATCCTCAAAGACGGACGAATCCGACTCAATGTGTCCAGACTGAGGACTGAAGACTCTGGATTTTATATTTGTCAACTGATCATTGGCCAATGCAAGGGCTCAGACATATTTACACTCAATGTGACTGGTAAGTGAGCTTTGATAAGTCAGTAAATTTATACTTTGAAGTGAGAACAGTTTTCTGTTTGGTTTATTTCCTCCTGTCCTTCACCACAGAGCCTCATCCATCTGATCTCCCACCAACTATCATCCCTCCACCAGAGAGTCGGGGAAGGATAGGATTACTTTTTGTGGCAGCAGTAATAGTCGTGACTCTTCTGCTAATTTACTTTATTTATAGAAAGATAAATAACCCTGAAAGACAACCTCTACGGTCAAGAAGACAAACTGTGTCTTCTTGATCCGTTTCATGGTATTTGTGCTTTTTGATATTTTTTGTGGACTTGATATGTATTAATTTGGCAACTAGGATCAATTCCTAATAATTGATCCTTGTTTCCATTGAGGATCAAAGTAACTGACATTAACAATGAGAGAAATGTATATTTTAAGTGAAGAAACAATTCACTGAAATGTTTTCAATGATTGAAAAAAGTCTCATGCTGTTTCTGTTTGGAAGATTTTGCTCCTTTGTGTATTTTCAATAAAATAAATGTCAAAAAATGCAAAATATAAATAAACTGTACAACAAGAAGATTTTATAATATAAAAAGCTTTGAAATGGTTTTGTTAAAAGTTAATATTGGCAAACAATCTGAATCAGCATTAATACTGATTCAGCTGAGGTTGGTGTCACAAGATTCACTGTAAAAACACAAAAACAAGCTGGAAAACCCCATATATTTATTTCTATTGTCTGTTCCCACAGAATGTAATGAAGACGTATCAGATTTTCACTGTGAACCATAGAACAGAAACAACTGTTTTAACTGAAACGAAATAATGTGCAGACATTTTGACTCAATTAAGACTCAAATGTTGAAAGGTCATTCAGTGTCAGATTTACACATTGGTGTTTTCCTCACAGTCTCATATAAAGTCCTCTCACAACTGACCAATCAGGTTTTCAGTCAGGGAAACAAACTAAAAGTTAAGATTTATTATCAAGAGTTAAATTAAATTAGTTGAATTAGGAAAGTTTTTCATGTTATAACTGTCAGATGATGAGAATTATAAACATGGCGGACCTCCAACTGCTTAGTTCAGATTTACAGAGAAACAGTGACACCCAGCGGTGAAACTTAAAATGACAGGAAGCGTGTTCTGGAATTTGCTCCAGTTTTCCATCGTTCATTTTGCTCATTATTCTGCTGTATCAGATCAATCAGACCTCCTAATTAATAACAGAAAAGCTTCAGGCATTAATACAAGTCAGTCGGATTCAACTCAGGAGAAAAAATAAGAAAGCAAAAAGTAAAGTTCTTTAATTATACAGAAAATGCACCATATAATTATTTTCCAAAACAAGCAATGCTTTTGCTTTTATCGTGTCCTCTTTTAGTCCATTAAAGATCAAGTTTCCTATTAATAAGCTGCTTTAGGAGAAACCTAAAACCATGTTATAAATTATAAACAAAAAGGTTCTGAGATTTGATCCATTTATCAGCCACAAAACAAAGTTCAGTCTTCAAACTGCACTTCACTGAACAACATATTTGTTTCCTACAACATGACTGTATCTCAGTGCAAACCAGTTATTCCTGACAAAAAATGTAGATTTTTTGTTAGGAATTGATTAGTTGTATGTGTTGAAATGTTTGTCACTGTTTATTACATAAAAATAATTGTCATGGTGGGTTTTAAGAGTCGAACCCACATGCAGAAAACACTCACAGAGAGAAGGAGTAAAAGCAATAGTTTATTTACAAAATGTACAAGTTATTGCAAGGCAAAGAATGGATGACAAGAATTAGGAAATCCGGAATGGTTGGAGGCTGAGGCTCAGGATCGGCAGAGGGGAGTGGGTTCCAGGTAAGGGTATCGCAAGGGGGGGCGTAGGAAGGGTGCTGGTGTTGGAGGGCGGACAGGTAGACCAAGTAGGAGGCTCCAAGGACCGAGGGGCAGAGCGGGCTCCTACTAGAGAGAGATCCTCCACAAGACAGTCCTAGGCCAGAAAACTTGAGAAACCTTCTCCGGAGTCTCTCGTAGGGGTCCTGGGAAGAGCAACAAGAAAACTGGTTAGAAGGAGCTCTAAGAGATCAAAAAACAAGTCTCTGAAAGAAACACAGGGACCTGAAGTACCACTATAGGCAACACTCTGGCAGGGAAGTGCTGGCAACCCGCTGCTTATATCCTCCTCCTGGGAGATGGTAATGATCCTCGCTGGTGCATCCTGTTAAGCCCGTCAGCACACCCTCCTGTCAAGGCATGAAACACTGGCGCCCTCTCCTGGATAGTTGGTGATGCTGAAAAATGAAAACAAAACCCTCCCCAACCTGGTACCCAACAATAATCACACAACAGAATACAAAGCAACAAAATATGGTACAAAATGTAGACATTAAATAATTTTTATAATAACAAAAGTCACTAAAATATTCAGGATCAGCTTGGAATGACTTACAAAAAGGTTTTAATTCCTGAATATCCATTTAAGATAAGTGACTTAAACTAACTCATGGTCTCCTCTGAAGATGTTGAACATCTTTAAACAAATAATCAACTTCCTGCTTTAAGAGACAAAACCTTGTAAAGATAAAGGCTGAAAACTCTCTCTGTTTTGTCTGATTCACCTCAAACTACCAACAGTGTGACCAGGAATTTATTGACTCTGTAACAAAACCCAGTTAACGTCGTCATTTAGATCCTCTTCCAGGTCTCTGGTTTCCTGGATTCTCTCTGAAACCAGCAGAGGCAGAAATGCACATGAACGCAGCCGGCTGAGGCTGGTTCTGCAGTCTCTTCCTTCTGCAGAACGACTCCTCCTGCATCTGGATTTCTATCTTTACGTAACGCTACGTATCCATGAAGAATAAAATCAAGTGATGGTTTTAACCAGGTTTCTTGAATACAGACTGTATTTGGTTTAACATTCTGTCTTTCAATAAAATTTTTAAACTCTTGGCCATTAAACAATTAAACTTCTAGCATTCCACTGTAATATGGATAAAACCCATCAAATCATTTCTGGATTGTGATTTTCATTTATCCTGGTTGTTAAAACTTCACTGATTGACTCCAAAGGCAAGTCTTCCATCTCCAGGTATTTTTGCTGCTTTAATTATTATTATTTACTTCTCTTTGTGTTACTATCAGTCTGTGCTGAACAACATTTTACTTCCACAATAAATGCAACAAATTTCCTCTTTCTCCACAATCATTGTACTTTCTAGGATTCTGGTTTTGCTTTTGCTCTGTTGTTGAGATGGAGTTCAGGGCACAGAAATGATTTTAGCATTAAACATTTAAATTACTTACCATCTCTTAACGTTTGACTGCTCTACTCACCTACTACTTTATTTTATTGCCTCACTTATTTTTAAAGGATTCAAAGCACATGGGTTCTGGAATCTAAGAATCATTTTAATTTCATTTCTTTTATCTTCCTCTCCTTTTTCTTCATCAGATCCTTTTCTTATTTCCTGGGTTCACTGTTTGCCAGTCTCCTGTTTTCTCAGTTCCTTTACTACAATTATCTGAATCATCTAATTCTTCACATTCATCCATCAGACTTTCTTGTTTAAAATAATCTACAAATTAACTCTAAATTACACTTCTGTCACTTTAACTTTTACAAACAAAAGCTTCCCCTCCTGTAACCAGCCGTCATGTCAAGACACAACGCTTTGATGCTGACCCCGCCCTTTCCAGCTCTCAGGATAAAACTATCTGATTCATGTTCTGTCTTGTCCAAGACTGATTCAACCCCTTTTCCTCCTGGGTTCCCATAAACACGTCTCAGCCTCTACCGCCTCGCCAGATTAGCAACAGCCAGTAGAGGTCCAGCAGTTCCTTTCAAGCCTTCAGTGTTTCTTTGACCTTTTTCTGTCCACGGATTGACTCTCCTGCCAAGCCTTTCATGGATCCCTTTTGTTCTGATTTCTGGACCTGATCCAAGCTTTCCCTCACGACACAGAGTATTGCCTGCTCCTCAGCTAAGTTTGCTCTTTCTGTCCTCCTGTGTATGACTTCTGCTCTGATTATCGTCAAAGGCCTGGGTGTCGCCTCTTGGATCTCTTGTGGAGATCTTCATCGCTTCCACAGTAGCCTGTTCTACCTGGTTTCCTGCAGCTCCCTGTCAGGACCCTTGGTTATCTGCTCCACCGTCCACAACTGTAAAGGTCAGTTAAGCTGAACATTTCTGAGAAACCCTCCTGATCTGCATCACCTGCCTCTCCCCTCTCTTCTCAGTGCTGTTTGCGACCTCAACCTGAGTAGCACCTGAGTTCTGTGTGTGTGACGCTTGTGTGCTGGTGTGTGTGTGTGTGTGTGTGTGTGTGTGTGTGTGTGTGTGTGTGTGTGTGTGTGTGTGTGTGTGTGTGTGTGTGTGTGTGGTTGTGTGGGTGTGTGTGTGTGTGTGTGGGGGGGGGGGTGGTTGAATTTCCAGGTCCCCACTGAGTGTCCTCACAAAGTCCAACTGAAGACTATATAATAGTAAAAAAAAAAAAAAAAAAAGTAACAATAAATAAGAGGTTATTTCAACAGAGTTTATTTTATTGTGAGCAGATCCAAACAGGTCCAAACAGTCACCAGAAAGGAATGTTCGTTTCAAATCTTCTTTCCAACGATTCACTTTTCCAAGAACTTGAACTACCTGTTAAAAAAAGACTGACATGTTTGACAGAAGTTCACAGATCCAGATGCCAAAGCAGGAGAACCAAACTGGACCCAGTAACCCAACACATCCTCCACTACATGGAGGTAGAGAGTGATCTTTGGGTCGGTTTGCCCAGAAGAAGCAGATTCTCCTGGGTTTGTTTCAAACTCCAAACTCAGGAAAAATCAACAGAGTTCTGTAATTATCTATGAATAATGATGGTGTCGGCACAGGCTTCAGGAAACGCTCCAACAGTCCTGATCTGGAACATTCCTAAGAGGAAAAAATGCAAAACCATCCAAATGTTTAACCAGGGGAAGGAATGAAGCCAATAAAGCCAGATTTCAGAAATCCTGTTAAAAAAATCACAGAGCTCCTCAAATAAACTGATGCAAACTGTGAAGAACTTTTTATTTCAACTTAAGACAACAAATAGGAGAAGATATTTTTACACAATAACAGTCCATTGGGACTGAAAACCAAGCTGCAATAATTAATAACTTTTCTGCTTTTCTAATCGACATCTGTCTCAAAAGCCTTTATTTCACTCAAACATGATAAATTCAGGAAACTTAAGTCTGTAAATGCAATCTGGTTCTCTAGTTTATTGCAAATTTAGCCTCTATTAGAGCTTTACACCTTAAGATTGATTGAATCTCTGATCCCCAGAGAAACTTGATGGGATTCACAATAATCACTAATTCAAATGGTGATAAATGAAGCAGGTAACTTAAAACTAACAGATGAAAAACACATTATTAATATGTCAGAATATTTGTCTGAAATGATTTTTGGGTTTTGATCTAAATGACTTTGACAAATTAGAAACACATCAGTTTTTTTTTTTTGAGGACCATAAAATCCAAACCAGCCCGATCACAAGACCTAACATATGATATATTAGACACTGGTGCAATCATTTTCAATAATCAATAGTTGCTGTAGGATCAAAAAGACAGATAATTGTCCCCTGTTGGCTTAAAGCTGCTCTGACCAGGTTTTCTGTTTTTGTTTATAGACTTTTGTTTTTATCTCTGTACTAATGGCTCGGACAAAAGAAAAGGTTTTCTGTCTCAGGAAATGTAAGTATCTATTTTGATATCCTCAAATTTAACGAATCTATTTACTTGTTCTAGAAAATGTTTCAATGCTGAATCACAGTTTGGTGCCATAAAGACTTATATTTGTTTACCCGTCTTAATTTATGGATATTTACTGTTGGCTATCAGTGAAAAACCTTAAATAGTTTGTGATTAATAGAAGTACCCACACAGCCATGCATTCACAACTTGTTCACTTTCTGGCTTGATTAGTAGACAGTTCAGGCTTAAGGAATCATTTACTAGACTTTATCACGAAACCTCTGAGATCAGTTTGAAAATGACTAATTAGTGGTTTCTCTGCAAATAAATGGATTAAATTTACCTTGATTGATGGATTATATCTTAAAGAAATTAAATAGTGCATGATCAAAAACCTTCTTCTTTCAGAAACATATTGCCGATAACCTGCTGTTTTACTAACTAAACTGGACTGAATGTTTAGCAGAGACATTGGAAAAGGCTTTCAAATAACCAAGAGACGTCTGAGTGAAAATCTATGAGATGTTGATCGTAACACTGATTGGTTTTCATGTTGTGTCTCATAGGGACAAGAGTTATGGCTTTCATCATGTTCTCTTTACATCTCTGTGGTCAGTTTTCACTTTCATTTCAACAAGATCATAAAATAAATGTTACAAACTGCTTAATGTTTGATTTTGGACATGAGTGAAAAACAATAAAACTATTTTTATGTCCTCAGTTTCTCTCTCTGTCTTCTCAATACCAGAAAATGAAAGTCAGAGTTTCTGTAAGTAGATTATTTAGAGGTCATAAAATCAAAGTTAGTTGTAATAACAAAGGTTTGATATAATTGCCTATTGTCCTGTTTTTCTGACTGTCTGTAACTTTTATCTTCATTAGTTCCAATAGATGTAAATGTGACACAGAAGTTATATCAGGCTGAGAAGAATCACAACATCACAGTGGATTTCACCTACACCTTCAAATTTGAGTGCTCCAAAAAGATCTGGCATCTTATCTGCAACCGAATAGAGAGTAACAACGTTTTTTACCAGTATATTGAAGTTGATGGTAAGAAAGTCTCAGAGTCTCAGGATGATCAGTTTTCAGGACGAGTCCAGTGTGAGAAAGACGTCCTCAAAGACGGACGGTTCCGACTCCATTTGTCCAGACTGAGGACTGAAGACTCTGGACATTATAGATGTGACCTGATCATTGGCTATTGTAGGGGCTCAGACACATTTAGACTCAATGTGACTGGTAAGTGAGCTTTGATAAGTCAGTAAATTTATACTTTGAAGTGAGAACAGTTTTCTGTTTGGTTTATTTCCTCCTGTCCTTCACCACAGAGCCTCATCCATCTGATCTCCCACCAACTATCATCCCTCCACCAGAGAGTCGGGGATGGATAGGATTAGGATTCGGGGCAGCAGGAATAGTAGGGATTTTTCTGTTTATTTACTTTATTTATAGAAAGAAAAATAACCTTGAAAGACAACCTCTATAGTCAAGAAGACAAATTGTCTTCTTGATCCGTTTCACTGTATTTGTGCATTTTGATATTTTTTGTGGACTTGATATGTATTAATTTGGCAACTAGGATGAATTTCTAATAATTGATCCTAGTTTCCATTGAGGATCAAAGTAACTAACATTAACAATGAGAGAAATGTATATTTTAAGTGAAGAAACAATTCACTGAAATGTTTTCAATGATTGAAAAAAGTCTCATGCTGTTTCTGTTTGGAAGATTTTGCTCCTTTGTGTATTTTCAATAAAATAAATATCAAAAATGCAAAATATAAATAAACTGTACAACAGGAAGCTTGTATAATATAATGGTATGAAATGGTTTGTTAAAAGTTAATATTGGAAAATAATCTGAATCAGCATTAATACTGATTCAGCTGAGGTTGGTGTCACAAGATTCACTGTAAAAACACAAAAACAAGCTGGAAAATCCCATATATTTATTTCTATTGTCTGTTCCCACAGAATGTAATGAAGACATATCAGATTTTCACTGTGAACCACAGAACAGAAACAACTGTTTTACCTGAAAACGAAATAATGTGCAGACATTTTGACTCAATTAAGACTAAAATGTTGAAAAGTCATTCAGTGTCAGATTTACACATTATTGTTTTCCTCACAGTCTCATATAAAGTCCTCTCACAACTGACCAATCAGGTTTTCAGTCAGGGAAACAAACTAAAAGTTAAGATTTATTATCAAGAGTTAAATTAAATTAGTTGAATTAGGAAAGTTTTTTCATGTTTTAACTGTCAGATGATGAGAATTATAAACATGGCGGACCTCTAACTGCTTAGTTCAGATTTACAGAGAAACAGTGACACCCAGTGGTCAAACTTAAAATGACAGGAAGAGTGTTCTGGAATTTGCTCCAGTTTTCCATCGTTCATTTTGCTCATTATTCTGCTGTATCAGATCAATCAGACCTCCTAATTAATAACAGAAAAGCTTCAGGCATTAATACAAGTCAGTCGGATTCAACTCAGGAGAAATAAGAGCAAAAAGTAAAGTTATTTAATTATACAGAAAATGCACCATATAATTATTTTCCAAAACAAGCAATGCTTTTGCTTTTAACTCTTCCTCTTTTAGTCCATTAAAGATCAAGTTTCCTATTAACAAGCTGATTTAGGAGAAACCTAAAACCATGTTAGACATTATAAACAAAAAGGTTCTGAGATTTGATCCATTTATCAGCCACAAAACAAAGTTCAGTCTTCAAACTGCACTTCACTGAACAACATATTTGTTTCCTACAAACATGATTGTAATCTCAGTGCAACCAGGTTATTCCTGACAAAAAGACTTTGTTAGGAATTGATTAGTTGTATGTGTTGAAATGTTTGTCAGTGTTTATTACATAAAAATAATCACATAATAAAATACAAAACAACAAAATATGGTACAAACTGTAGACAACTGTAGACATTAAACCATTTTTATATTAACAAAAGTCACTAAAATCTTCAGGATCAGCTTGGAATGACTAACAAAAAGGTTTTAATTCCTGAATATCCATTTTACATAAGTGACTTAAAGTAACTCATGGTCTCCTCTGATGATGTTGAACATCTTTAAACAAATAATCCACTTCCTGCTTTAAGAGACAAAACCTTGTAAAGATAAAGTCACGAGCCTCTCAGGCTGAAACTCTCTCTGTTTTGTCAGAATCACCTCAAACCACCAACAGTGTGACCAGGATTTTATCGACTCTGTAACAAAACCCAGTTAACGTCGTCATTTAGATCCTCTTCCAGGTCTCTGGTTTCCTGGATTCTCTCTGAAACCAGCAGAGGCAGAAATGCAACATGAATACAGCCGGCTGAGGCCTGGTTCTGCAGTCTCTTCATGTCTGACATCCTGGGCTCTGATGCTTGATGAGCAAAGCCAGGAACGCTGAAGCTGAAGCCGCGGTGAAGAGTCCCAGTCCCACATAAAGAACGATTCTACCTCCGGTCGCCGGTTCTGGTTGTTCTGATGTCACTGCAAGGTCAACTTGGGCTGGAAAAACAAAAATATACTATGAAAATAAAGTCAATCAATTTGTATAGCATATTTATCAACAAGGCCGTTAAAAGAGCTAACATCATGAAAACAAAAATTACATTTTGATCATCCAAACGGTCGATTCACATCAAATAAGTAAAAACTGTCATTCTAAACAGTTTTCAGTCTTAATTTGAAGGAACTCAGTGTTTCTGCTGTTTTCTTGAAGTTTGTTTCACATGCAATATTATTATGGCTTATTCTTGCATTGCTTCAACTTCATCCTAATAGTTTATGTTACTTTTATTGTCATAATATTCCAACATACTGATGCAGAAGTGAACAGAGAACCCAAAAACAGTTAAAAGGGTAAAGCAAAAATGTCTATTCATGCCTTGAGGAACTGAAGAAATGATCAATTATTTAATGTTTAAAATTTTTAAATTATCAAACAAACCAAAATATAAAGTTAGGTGGAGGTTTTGGTATTGTAAGGTCCAACATAACAATAATTCATATAAAAATAAATAAATATTTTCCAAATCAGTTTCATTCAATATAAAACTGATGAAACTTTAACAGAAACTGCAGGTTTTGTGTCTGGTGATTTTTTTTTTATCAAAACATGTTTGTTTTTCATTCACTAGGTAGGAAATCCAGAAATCGTAATCAATCAAGAGTAGAAATACTTCACATGCAATATTATTAAAATAAAGCTTGTGTAAAATTACACAAGTAAAAGTAAAAAGTACAGCATAGTAAAAATACTCTTAGAAGTACATATATTTTCAAATAAATGTAACTATTTACTATCTAACTCTGTACCTTTGAAAATGCTACATATAGAAGAGTATTTCTGAAAAATAAAGGACATTAATTCTTAAAGGAATATTTAGAAAACAAAACTTATTTTCCCTTCAGTCTCCAAGAAGCATGGATAATAACAGGAAACACAATTTCTGTGAATTTTTTTCTTATCAAAAATATTTTGATAATAAAATATCTACATATTTTAGATGAGTAGAAACTTACGAGTGACGTCGAGCGTGAACTCTTTGACCTTCCTGCCACGCCCTGTCGCCATCCTGCAGAGATACCTGGCCGAGTCTTCGGCGCTGACCCTGGCCAGGTGAAGCCGGACCCGGCCCGCCGCCAGCGCTTCTTCATCGCACCGAACTCGACCGGCGAACTGCTGGTGTTGAGCTTCGACGACGCTGCTGTCCAGGTGGTAAAACACCTTCAGCTCAGGCAGCTGAATGCAGTGGATCTTCAGAGAGGAGACGTTCAGGCCAGGCCTGAAAGCAAAGCGCCACTCGATGGTGACATCACCATGTTCCTCCGCCTGGTAAAATAGACCCTCGCTGTGTGTCAACACTGAGTCTGAAATCAAGGAAGGAAGCAAAGGCTCAATATACAAAAATAAATCTACTCTGACATTAATTTGGTAACATTTATGGAAACTTTTCTTTGTGTACACAATGCAAAATACAACAAACATCTATGATTGATCTACAAATGGCCTAATTTAAAAAAGAGGCACAGTTTGGACACACCTTAAGTTTTTATTTTTATAACAAACTAATAATCTGAACTTCTGCTGAACCAGGACTCAACATTCAGCATTTTTACCCAACCTAGTCTGATCACAAGCAAGTTATTTATAACCTGTCAGCATAAGCTCAAGTTTTTAATGTAATTTAATAACCTCTGCCTTAACTGTAGTTCTATAATTTATTCAATTATTTCCCGATAAAACAAGTTTTGTTGGTACAGTCTGAAGTTTTGTAGGATTTCATTTTAACACTCTGACTCACCACAGATGGTTGAGGTCATGGCTGAGAGCAGCAGGATCCTGCAGATCATCTTCTTTCTTTGGAAAGCAGAAGATCGTTAAAGCAAATGTACAAGAAGCTATTAGGAGCTAAAGAGATTTAAATCCCTGATTGTCTCTTAGAAAAACAGTTATACTTGCTGGCATTCAGCCATCAGCCTGCAAAACAGTGAAACCTGAAAAACCTGCTGCGCTGATTGTTTATTTCAAGCTCTATGAAGTCGTTTCACTAGTCAAATTATTTAAATGTCATGCTACCTGTGTCTGTACTTCTGCCAAATATTTAGCCAAAAATACTTTTTGATTTTTAATCTCAACAATAATCTGGTAAAATAAAGCTTAAATAATTCACAGTCCCTGTTTTCTGCTATTTTCCTGTCTCTGTTCTGTTATTTTAAAAATACTCACATAAAAATGTTCAGTATAAACAGACGGCTGGCTCTCCTGAATCAGCGTCTCCCAGAATGCTTTGCTCTGCTTCTGAAGTTCACAGATTAAAAGTCTCAGTTTTACAGCTGGCGCTGCAGGTGAGCTCAGGTGTCTGATGCAGCTGCAGATACTGTTTACTGTTTTACGCCGTCAAACGGGGAGTTTAAGTGTTACGTCAAAGAAACACTCCCTCTGTCATTTCTGTTTACGCTACAATGGTAGTAAACACAGCTGGTCTCCTCGGCAACAGATAATAATAATAACAAATAATAAAAATCATTACATTTGTCTAAAAATGTTTAGAAAATCACTCACTAACAACAGCCTAAAGAAATTAGGCCTAAATATTGAGATTCTACAGGATCAATATATGAAATTATTAAGTGTTCAATCTCCCCTGAAAAGTTGTTGTTGTACTCACTGTGTCTCCATAGGAACAGTGAGTACAACAAATAAACTGAGACAAGTCACCAGGAAATAAACATGCAGGGTTAAACACAATTACAGGAAGATATGAGCGGCAGAGCAACAACTTTCCCTCAGAGAAAAGCTCACTTATGATACTGAAGCAGTTGCCTCAAATATAATGAGTGAATGAATGCAGGTTTTATGAAAGCAAAGCGCCACTCGATGGTGACATCACCACCAAATTCCTAAATTATAATTCAGGAATTATAATTCCTCATCAGAGCTGCAGTTCTCAAACACAAAAGTCCCGAAGATCGAGTTTCTCTGTGATGCTCGATCCAGATGCAAAGCAAAAACAAGAAATGTGGAAAAATAGTGGCAATTCTGTGAGCCATTTAAAATACTTTGAGAGAAATCGAGCCAGAAAAGAAAACATCAGAAGAGTTACACAAAATGAGCCTCAACCCCATATGAAATATACAAACTAAACTAATAAGAAGAGAAAATGAGATGCATTTAAGTCTGAAATATTCAAATATTTAAATCAAAAATGTAAAAATTAAATTCAAAACGCCAACATGACAAAGTCGGACTTCAGTTCAGACTAACATGGAAGATGAAGCCTGAAAGATTCGAAGATGATTCATTCTCTAAACGCTTAATCATCCTCATCTAAACCTCATGAGAAGTTCGTCCCTCATCTCTGTCAGAGAGCAGTGTTTTGGTCGGGTCTCCATGACAGCAGCCCTAAACATTGGAGGGGAAATCAGCAGGTGTAGCAAATTCATGGGGCAAACAAGCAGGAATGTTCAGAGCTGATGCCCTTCATGCATCATGCACCTCAATGCAATTCATCAAAAGCAAAGCTCTTACAAGATGCTAAATGTTTTAATAATTATTTATATAAAGCGCTGAGGAATCCTGTTGTAATCGTACTATTATTTTTCTGCCACCCAAATGAAGCTTTTTAAAGACATTTTCTAAAACTCGCTGAACTTGACAGACGCTTCAGGACTGAGAAAGATTTATGGATTTTAATGTCGCAAAAATCAAACCAGAAACGGTTCCACTTTCAAAATACCCTTACAAGAGCAATGTCTGGGATCATGAGCGCCCCCTGGCACCAGGTAAGAGAACTGCCTGCCTCATCGGTAATGATCGCTCCTCTGCACACAAAACATGTTACACACAGTTGGTACATCATAAGCCTGGCTTGTGTAAAGAAAAGAAAAAACAAAATATGCATTTCTTGATGAAAATGCAAGTCTAAGGAAAACGCAAAAGAAAATATATATTTTTTTGTGACAAAAACACATGTATAAGGAAAAAATTAAAAAAACAACACATACATTTCTTGTTGAAAACGCATATAAGAAAAAATATTTTTGATTTTATTTTTAATTATATCAGTTTTGGTTCTCCATAGCGTCTCTGCTGCAGTGAGCATTTCTCTGGCAGGGCAGAAATATTCCTAAAGATGTGTTTATAGTTTTACAGTTCATGCATTGGGAGAGAAGATCTCTGAAGTTTAGTCTCATATGGCCGCTGTATCAGCTCCCTGTGAGGATGAGGATCCATGTTTCACTGCAGAATTTCTCCAGGTAGGAATCAATGTTAAATCCACCGTTTGTTCACAGGTGCACTGAACGTTCACCTGCTCGATTCTTTTCTCCAACACTTAAACTTTGCAAACATTTGCCGCGCTAAGCTAAATATGCTAACCCCGCTGCAATGTGGCGAACGTGACGTCATCATGCAGGTTGGCGTTAAATAAACCATCTCAGAGTAAAACTACTTACCAAACCTGGTAAAGCAAATTGTTCTGAAACGACTCAGCTTGGTGGGAACCTGTGATTCTGGGACGGAGTCAATAAATTAAGTCCTTTAGTGATACAACCTGCAGCTGCAGGAGTTCAGGAAAGAAGATTTGATCCAGAAACGCTTTGTTTTAACTACCAGTATTATTCACACCAGAGTGAAGAAACAGAATGAGACTATCATATAAAAGTCTACTAACACCAAAACATTTAACGCTTTTGAATTTGTTGTTCGTTGAAAGTAAACTTGCCAGCTCCTTAAAATTGACCAATTTAAAATCTTGTCATTTATCTATTAAACCAATCGATATTCTCTTACTCCACTTATGGGTCGGTTCTACATGTGATCAGCATCACGTCGTGTTTCCAGATCCAGTAACTGATGACTGATGGATTTAACAGAAGTCCAAATAATTTAAATTTATTTCAGTTGTATTTTTGTTATTTGTTGCTTTAACACACTACAGTTGTGGGTTTAAGTATTGTCAGTAATTTTTTTACATTTCCTTTTAATCTTAATCTTTTAAGTCTCTGTGTCCTGATCACCAGGCTTAGCAAGTTTTCTAATAATGCAAAGATTTGATTTTTCTGTGTATGTTGCTGGTCTACTGAGTTTCTGTGTTTTGCCCTTAACTGCCTCCAGCTGTCCCTCGTTGTCCTGATTACTCCTGTGTGTATTTAATCCCACCTGTGTCAGCATGTCAGATGTCAGCATGTGTTTCACCTGACCAGTAGCTACCAGCATCTGAGCTCTTTGCTTTACTGCTTAGCTGTTTCCTGGACTTCAGTATTTTTCTGAGCTTCATCAATAAACCCATATTTTTGCTACAACCTGGGTTTGCCTCATCTAATCCTCACCACCCCAACAAACCACAAATTCATTATATAGATCAGCCTAAAGGGAGATTGACAATTAAAATTACTTGATGCTAACAAAAGTCCAAAAACAATTGTAATTGTCTCTATTGACTGGAGAAGTTGCAACACCATTTTAACTCCCAAAGTTTAATGAAGCTATTTTACATGGTCAACTTTTTTTTTAGTAATGACTGAACAACCTTCCACCCCAAAAACTGGTGCAGCGATCAACGCTCTCCTTCACAACTAGAGATGGCGAAATACTGATTTTATTTACACGTACACGTTCGTTCATGGATGTTTCCACGTGGTGCAACACGAAGCTCAACATCATTAAACGTGACGCAAGTCCTGTGGAAACGTGGCAAGATACGCATCTTGTCACATTTTATTTATATTCAACGCATTTTTACAAGACAACTAACACATTATTGTCTTGTGATAGCGCTCCAATTATTATTCTTTTTTTGCATGGTAGCAATGCGCTCCCATAGAAAACTTTTCACACATCTCTACTCAATTCTTTCTGGATGGCTTCTTACACGACCCGTCATTCAGTGTTGGGCTCTCAGCAGAGACGTACGAGTCCATTCAAAAACACAGGATTCTCCTTTAATTTGAACAATTTCAAACAATAAAATTGTTGAAATTTCATTGCTAAATTTGACAACTCAGTTCGGTCAAATTTAGCTGTGTTAAATTTAATAAAAATTTAACACAGCTAAACAAACGTCGAAAAGAACACGAAACATAAAATTTCGTCCAGGACGTGCTCCGATGAGTGGCCACATCTTTTTAACATATAGTGGTTCTTATGGAAACATAATTAAATCCTTAAATTCTAAAATATACATAATAAAACTTGAAAACGAAAATAGCACAATTTGTACACCTTTTTCCACCTGTGTGCGCAGCGAACACGTTTCTCTGGGGCGTTTCGGATTATGTGCTGTTGCTGTAAGTAAGGATCGGGCCTGCTGTAGATTGTAACGAGTTGATTGTTTTATTCAATACTCAAATTATGTGACTCAACAGTAAAAATATAAACCAATAAGTCTCGTCTTCCAACTCAGTTCTGTCAAAACAATGAGTTGTGAGATCAGCATTTAATCAAAACTCTCCTTAATCTGTCAGTGTGCAACTTTCCTTCCCTCAAAATTTAAATCAACTTCACACTGAACTACCTCACACCCTGGAGTTAGAAAAACTTAAACACGAGTCCATTCAGATCAACAAACCTCTCCTTTAATTTGAACAATTTCAAACAGTAACAAAATAAAAATTTAACATACTTTAATAAAACATGAAATGAACATAAAAACATTAAATCTAATTTTTATTTATCCAGGACGTCGTCCTCCTTCGAGGTCTGAGTGACCACATCTTCTTCACGTAGTTAAAACATAAATATATTGAGTTTTTTTTAATATATGTTTATTTAAAACTGAATCTTATAATTTATTTGTAAAATCAAGAAAAACAATACACCATCTGAAAAAGAAAAAAATACAAACTGCAAGTATATGATATACCATTAAATCAACTGTTAATTTTTATACAAGATATAAATAAAACCTTTAACCAACATTATATACCATTCACACACCGACCATCAGCAATAAACGTTGAACACTGAAACATCATTCAGCTTCGCTCAACATCGGATGGTTCCTGTAGGAAGCTGAAGAGTGATCCAGGAGCTGCAGTTGGCGGCTTGAATGAGGTTCTGAAAGGTTTCGAGTTCCGGTTTGGTGGAGCAGGAAGGTTCCTGTGAGTAGTGGATCAGGCCCGGTGCTAACCCATCCTCGGGCGTACTCCAGCAGGATCCGACGTTCCGTGGCGTGCCTAACTCTGGCACGAACTACAGGGCGTGTGACTGTTTGGTGTAGTCCGTGAGGGGGTGCTTGAGTGCGGGTCCGCAGGTTCTAATGGAGAGCCTGGTTCTAAGAGAGGCTGCAGTCCCGGTTCTCTTTTACCCGGGCCTCTGGTTCTGTGGCTGGGGTAAGTAGCTCCACAGCAGGCCCTGGTTCTCAGAGAGGCTGCAGTCCTGGTTCTCTGTTACCCGGAGATGTGGAGCCATGGCCGGGTTAAGTGCTTGGGCTGTGGGTCCCTGGTTCTCAGAGAGGCTGCGGTCCTGGTTCTCTGTTACCCGGGGCTCTGGTTCCCTGTCCCGGGTAGAATTAAAAACACTTTAACAATTCCTGGTTCTCACGGAAGAACAGGATTTTACCCAGAAAACAAGCATGAAGCAAGGGGAAGAGGCGTTTGAAACGCTTTATTGAACAAGCACATTATTCAACAGGCTGCTCTGCTTCTCTGGAGAGGTCGAAGGTCCTCCGCATGGCTGCCAGCTGGCTGACATTCAGCTGCATCACGTAGAACCGGTCTGCCGTCCTGGTGTCGTGGCACATGAGGTGGGACATCTGCTGCCTGACCTCAGCGCACTGTGTGTTCCTGGCCTGGAAAGAGAGACAGGGAGGTTTTGGTACCGTGGCTGGGGGGGGAAAGCTCACGGCTGCAGGTCAACCTACCATGGTGGCCACGGCGGTCCGTATGTCGGTCAACGAGGGAGTCCCCGTCAGGCGCATCCTGGCCCATGCGTCCCTGGCGAAGGCGGTGTGCTTGTTGACAGGGCCTCCGTTGGTGTTGAAGAACACCAGGTCGCAATCCGGGCGCAGTTTGCGGCGTATGGAGATCCAGCTTCTCAGCCAACCGTATTCCACCGGCGTCACAAACAGCTGCAGTCCCGGTTCTTTTACCTGAGCCTCTGGTTCTGTGTCTGGGATGAAGTGCTTCGGGTGTGGGGGGGCACTTACATTGATCACGTAGCCGGAAGAGTCGTGCCTGGATCCCGACTCGGCCTCTTCCACCTCACACACCCTCGTGTTCCAGACCACGCCCGGTCTGTGGCCGAAGAGAGAAGCGACGTACAAAGCCAAGAAGCCGAATAGCTTGTGCCTCAGGGTGGCGTCGTGCCTCCTCTGCGATAAGTCCTGCAACAACTTCGCAATCCAGGTCCGGCACTGCTCCAGGCACCTGCGGAGAACCGGCAGCGTTACTGTGCGTAGTTCTTTCTGTGCTTTCACCTGGATCTGATGGAGCACCACGGGAGTGGAGATCTGGCTGGCGGCGGACTTCAGGGCCCGTGTGACGGACACCAGGCCGTGCTTGGTGACCTTGGAGCCCTTTGGAGGAGTCTCTGGAAGTAGGTGAGGAATTGACCAGTGTTCACCAGGTAGACTTTGACGGTGGTGATCTGCTTTCCCCGCTTTAGGAGTTCGGCGGGCCAGCCAAGGACCCGGTCGGCGTCGTCCAGGAACCTCCAGGAGTCCAAGCCGCACTTCCCCTCGGCCATGTGGTTAAGGAAGTGGGTCAGCCGTCCCATCTTGGATCTCACGTTCTCAATGTGCTTCTTGGAGGGTAAGGCTCCCACCAGGTGCCTCTTGTAACCGTCCATATACCGGACCACGGTTTCTGGAAATTTGATGGGTCTACGCACCGGATCGGGAGTGGTGGAGCTGGGACTCTGTCCTCCCGAGCCCTCCTGCACCACCGCCTGCTGCTGGATCCCTAGGTCCACAGGTTCGCACTCGAACCGCGGCACGGCGGGGCGGGGAGGCGATGGAGGTGGAGGAGACGGTGGTGGTGGTGGTTGAGGCGCCCCGTCTGGTGATGGTGGCGGGGAACCATCCTCCTCTCCCTCCTCCTCCTCATCGTTGTCCTCCACCACCGCCGGCCTCCGTGGTGGCGAGCTGCGGGAAGGCCGCATCCCAACAGCCAGAGCACTACGGCCTTCCTCCAGGTCCAGCCTGGTTCCCAGAGACATGTGGGGGTTGGACCGCCTCAGCTCCCTCAGCTTCTCCAACGTCCTCCACCACTGGAGGCCGGTCAGAAGCCGCCGCTTCTGCCGTGGGCCCAGGTCTCTATGGGCTTCCTGGAGGTGCTGAGGCACACGCCGTCCTCCATAAGCGCAGCCCTGCACTGGGCATCTCATGCCCCTCACGTTGACTCGTCCCCGTGCATAGGCCAGCAGGATACGACGTTCGGCGGGGTTCCCGACTCTGTGGTTCTCGTCCAGATGCTCCTGCAGACACCATGATCTGCAGGAGCATACTGGGCATCGATTATCAAATTTGGACGCGGTCATGCTGCTGCCAAAAAGAGGCAAAATGTAAATACCTGCAAAACTCCTCGACGGTGGACTCCAGGGGTGCTCAAGTCCAGTCCTCGAGAGCTACCATCCTGAAACTTTTAGATGCAGCCTTACTCCAGCAGACCGAGATCTGAACAGGTCTGGTAATGAGCCATTCATTTTATTCAGGTGCAATTTGACCTCACCTTCCACGTTTCTTGCATGCAAACATTCACTGGGGTCCTGCGGCCGTTTTGGTGGAGGTTTGGGCTTCTTTGTGGCGGCTTCAGCCCGAGGCACCGATGAGCCTCCGTACCCATTGGGTCCGGCTCTTTGGTGACCAGAACTGCCCATGTCTGAAGCCACATGTGGGTTTTGACTCTGCAAAGAAAGTTTGATGATTTGCTCTTTTTAAACGTAACGAGGCGTTCAATGAATGAAGAGGATTGCACAGTACTCACGTCTCTCTGAGTGATGTCACGTTTTTAATCCCGGCTTGTTTGGGTCTCTAGCCGGCGCAAAAGGTAAAGTAGGGCAGAGCGCGCTCCCAGAAAGCTGTCGTCCACAGCCATTTCATTATTAAATTCCATTCTTAATTCTTATTCCATTATACTTTTGACCATGAACAAATGAAGGTTATTTATGACCTTGGCGCGCTGGATATGTGCATACCTTTGGTCTTTGGGATGTACTACAGTGGAAGAAGACGTTAGTGCATCATTTTCTGTTGAAGGGATCCCGTTTACTAGAGCTGTTTGTGGAGCCTGGAACATAACATGAATCAGAACAGTACACTTCAGTTGTCATATATTCTTCATAACATAACCAAGAGTTAGAAAAGACTTAGTAATGTATACATATATATATAAATAACCAACATTATTTTTTTTTACATTTGAGATTTAGAAACAGAAAAAAAATTTCTGCTGTGAAAAACATTAACCGTTTATCTAAACATAAAATCTCACATCAACATATACAGATAGACAACGTATACTTCTGACCTTGACTCTTTCTGAATCCTCAGTCTCATCCAGACCATCAATGCTGTTAAAGTCGGCCATCACTGTTTCGGTTTCTTGCATTACCTCTGGGTTTTCCATATTATTCACTCCATAGAAATACTCTGTTTCCTGATGGACCAGGTGTTGAATGTAAGGCAGGATATAAAATTTCCACATCGTCATCAGTGACACACGCTGGAAAATGACCTTCAGTTCCATCTGGTGAAGCTTTGGATTGTGGACTCAGCGATGCTTCGTCATCTGTGATAAGGTTCTGGCTTGAGTGACCTGCTTCTCCTGGCAGCTCCAGGCCTCGAGAGCCGCTCTCCTGCAACTTTTAAATGGTCCAACACAGCTGATTCAAATAGCTGAATCGCCTCCTAAATGCAGTCAAGTTCTCCAGAGTTCTGCTAATGACCCCTTTATTTGACTCAGGTGTGTTGAAGTAGAAACATCTAAAGGTTGCAGGAGACCTGGAGTTGCCCACCCGTCTCCTGGCGTATAGCCTTGCAAAGACGTCATTGAAGTTAATGGCTCAACAGAAGAGGCAGAAGTGTTGAGTATATCTCCCAACATCGTGAGGCTATGAAAAAAGAAAGACATCCATAAGATTGTGACGTCAAATAATACTACGTCCTCTTTGAATTTCTGTAATCTTCATGTTTGCTAAAAGTGGTCATTTTATTTTTTATTTTTCTTTACCAGTAACTTTACAACTCAATGACAGCATTTCATCACTGAGCTGGAGCGAGGGCCTGTAAGCAGTTAAAAGAGATGGAGAAAAATACAGAATCTACAACAGAAAGAAAAAAACTAAAGCATAAAAGAAGCTCACCAGAGCTGCCCAGCCATCCTCTCGATTCCAGTCCTCAGTCCTGCTCTGCATGTTTTAGATGCGCCTCTATTCCAGAACAGCTGGTCCAAATGATTGCATGACCATAAAGTACCGCAGAAGCCTGTTAATCATCCTTAGATAGATTCCAGGTGTGTGGCAGAAGGGAAACACCTAAAACATGCAGGGTAGGGGGGAAAGACGACCACAATTGAGAAACACCAGTAAAGATAAAAACAGGAAGTGGTCACGGGGTCACCAGACTTTCTGTGTGTGAGGTCACATCAACACCTGAAGCAGCGTAGCAGGTAGCAGGTCCTTCCATGAAAGTTTTGCTGGCTTTGATAATTCTCATGTTTCAGCAACATTTAACTGCCAAGTGAAGAACGATTCTGTATTTTAAAAGATGGTGTCAGTCCTTGCTATAAATCCCCAGACCTTCTATATAAAACAGTGACGCCTCCAACCAGCTGACGTAGTGGAATTAAGCACATTTTAGCCTGATTAAGTTGTATCGTCTAGTTATTGTATTTATGGTGGATTAAGATTATTTACCTGTTTCTAGGTTTGACTTGTCTTCAGTGCTGCTCCCAAATGAGCCGCTTCCTCAACTGAAGGGAGGGAATGTAATATGGATTACGAAGGAACCCAAAAGGAAAAAAAATCCCCATGTCCCCTAGAGGGCGCCGCAAAGACCAAAGCAGATTTTAAATTTGAAAACAATATTTTTTTATTCCAATTGCTGAAGACAATCATAAAACTCAGACCACACAAAATACATCTTTAAAACACAAATTCTGAAGTTATTACTAATTTATTAAACATTTGTTATTCATGTTTTAACACAAAAAAAATGCTAATTTCTGTTCTATTATAAACCTTAATCGAAATAAAGTCTGCATCTTGTTTACTTACACAACTCCCTACATGAGACGTTGCCTGAAATGTATTAATGTAAATTATTTTAGACAAGCAAAGATTTACGCTCACTGGCCACTTTATTAGGTACACCAGGTGAACCGATTATTACCACAAATAGTAAATTAGACAGAAAGACACGTCTCAGGTTTATAGAAAACGATTCAAAAGACAGAAAATCCACAGTGAGCAAATATTCACACATTCAGATGGTTTGGTCCAAAACTTGGAATAAATATAATAAAAGTGGATCAGCAGCAATACAATTATGCTATTCTGGTGATATAGATTAAATCTCTAAGCCATAAAAAATGTATGCTTTTCTAAAGTTAGACACAAATCGCGTTACTGCTGTCCGTCTAACAAAGTGGCCATTGAGTGTAATTATACAATTTAAAATAAATAATTTTCACCTCAAGGATTCCAAGAAACATTCAGATGAGCTACTTGTGATTTACATTCTGGTTGAACTTTTAAAGGGGCAGTATCACATAAAAATCAACATTTTTGACATTATTTCCCTCATCAGATTTTTTCAAGCACGTTTTGAGAAATCCTTTAGTCTCCATCGCAACCACTCAGCATGTTGCCTCTTTTTTTCCACTCAGCAAATCCCCCCACTACGCTCCTCCAGACTAGCCAGCAGAAATTAGCAAGCAGCTGGTGGAAGTGCACATGTGCTGAGCTCATTGTTTCAGTGAAATGCTGGTAAACAGGATGTTAAAGGGTTAATGGAGGAGCCATGTTGTGACGACTTAATGAAAGGTGAGTTTCAGAAAGAGCATGAGTTTCTTAAATTTCAAGGCGTAAATTTACAAAGTAACTATTTTTTAGTCATACTTGACATAAGTAGAATTTTTACAACAGAAGGTAACAGTTACTGGATACAAAATACGTGATACTGCCCCTTTAAGGAGAAAGAAAACAAGATGTGAAGTGATTTATTGCTTCAGACAAACACTGATGTCTGTTAGTCTGATAATGAAGAACTTGGTCCAAACAGCAGCGGTTCCTCTGGGAGTGCTTTTGCCCCAGCATGTCTAGCTTTTCTCTTTTTCTGTGGACATCCTCCCATCATGCCACGCTTCCCGCGTGTTCTTCAGAGCTTTGGTCCGTTTGGGATCCACCACCACGTAGTCCACCCGCCTGCGGTCGCCGCGCGCTCGTTCATCACCCGCTGCAGCCTGATGGCTGCTGCCGGGCCCACCTGCTGCTGTGGAGCGCTTCTAAAGACACATTCATGACACGGAGTGTTAACTTAGATTCTGCAACAAGATTCATTTACATCTATACTGAGTTATTACATAGTGCATTAGGAGTTATAATGCACTGGTGTCCAAACTCTTTGCAACATGAGACACAACTGTTCAGTTAAAAATAGTTTTTCTCTTTTGTTGTGAAAAATGCAAAAATAATTCCAGTGTAAAAACTAAATTCATACTATTAATGTAATTTTTACCCTGATTTCTATTCAGAAAGTATTAGATGTATTCTAGACTACAAAAGCATTAGCTGAGCCCCTTTATATATTTAGCCTAATTTAATAAATGGAAGCACAGTTGGGTCTTTGATGCCCTCTAGTGGACAAACTCCAAGCAGGTCAAATAAATCACTTAGACTTGAGTTATCCAGTTTATTAAAGTAATAATTACACAAAATGTTATTTTGGGCAAATTTTTCTTATTTTGGTGAAACATTTTTTTTTTTTTTTTACTTGTCTTGTCGGTGTCGATCGTCCTGTGTGGAGGTCCAGGTCCAGATACTCCACCTGTTTCTCAGCCCGTTGCGCCAGTGGGCTGCTGACTCCCCCCTCAGAGCCGCGGTGCACCATCATCCTCAGCGACTGCAAACGGAAACATCTAGATATTTACACAATACCAGGCATAAAAATGAGCATTGGGTGATTAGAGATGATAAAATGTCTCACCTGCTCCCCGGCACTTTGACTGAGGCTGGAGGTCACCATGCTTACGTAACTGTCGTCGGGGTCGTCAGAATCGGAGGATGGGGATGAGCTTTGGGCCGAGCTCGGCCTGAACGACCCACGAATGGACGGACTGAGACACAAAAACACAATAAATTTCTAAAATAATGTATAATTTTCTACTTTTTTGACACTTCATTCACCCAAACTTACTTTACTTCTCTGAAGACGTTTATATTCAACCACATTCATTCACAGCAGATGTAACATGCTGTAATACTAGTTTACCACCACAAGGTGGAAGCAGCGAGCACCTCAGATTCATGGCTAAATATATTTATTTCTTCCTGCTTTTGCAAAACTCACCCTCTAGTGAAGGTCCGAGTGACAGGTGAGCGGACAGGAGGCGGGACTTCCTGCCAGTCCTGCGACACCGGAGTTATTTCCAGAGGTGCTGGTTTCACTGAAATATACACATTCAAAACAATGTTTTTAAGTGTAGTTTTGTTTGTATGTGACCCAGTAAAATGTAATGTAATGCAAATAATTATGCTAATTAATTTAATTGACTTTCGCGCCCAAAAATATTTTCTAAGTCTTATGCAGTGGCAGCATCATGTCAACAGGGGGCAGCACTACAACATGTTCTACAAATAGTGAAAATATCCAAGTTCTGTCCTTTCCCTGCAATCTTGTTTCAATGCATAAAACTGCATAAGTATAAGTCAGCATATTTAGTGTTTGCAGGACCGACACAAACATTAATTATTAATGTTTCCATGTCCTGCATCTTTAGGTCTCCTGATGTTCGTTTGCATGTGTGCTGCTGCCAGGACCCTTTTCTGCAGACTTGTCAGGTAAACTGGTTGCAGATTAATAATTAAAATCAAAAGAGGTAAGTTGGGAACCGGAGAGTCATGAAATGACAGAGTTACACAAGACGGAGGAAAGGAACTATGAACTTCATCTTGTTTCTAAATGACTCAGTAAGTCAATAACAGACTAAAGCTGCACAAACACAACATGAGGTAACAATGTTTTCTAATACATCAGTAATATAAAAGATCCTGTCAAACTCTGTAAAAGCAGATAGTTTTGCAGTTTGTACCTTTGGTTTTATGCGTGGTCTCTGCAGGGATCTGGCTGCTGTTCTTCTCCACAGACTGACTCCCACAAACTCCTAATTTTAGGTAGATTTTATAAATCAATTGTTTTATGCAAGCAGAACGATAAGGAACTGTTGATTACATATCACCTTTCATAAGATAATTGTCAAAGTGCTTTTAGATGACAAAGAAAATTACAAACAGAAAAAAACTATATTTTTTAAAATAAAGAACTGAGATGGACTGATTTTCATCTGACCAGTTAGGTTTTACATGTTAGGGTGAAACAAAGACTTTTAAAAACACCAAAACAAGAAAAGACTGAGCTCTGCATTGCAGGGATGCCTTGCAGACCAGTTCACCAACCAGTTTTCTTATTTTTGCTCTGGTTCTAAATGTAAAGTCCTTTAGTCTCAAATGATAGAATCAGAAACATGTAAAGTAAAATATCTTATTTAAGAAGCTTCAGTTTGTGGACGAACAAAAAACCCCAGTAGGGGCCTTGACTAAAGGCGATTGTTGTTTTAAGAATCATTTTCTGTATCATAACCTCATAATATCAGAAGTCTCAGTGCATTATGAAGCTTCATCCGCCCAACAATAACCCCGACCTCTGACCTTTCCGCTGAGGTTTCAGGTTGCGGTGGATTGGAGGAGGAGCCACTTCAGCTTCACCTCCGCTGGTGTTGTGCATCGTATTCCTCCGCAGGGGCAGGGTGGAGGAAACCACCGGGGTCACTGTGGGATTACGAAAACCCATGTGGGCCGGCGGAGGCACTTGCCTCCCCAGCAAAGCCAGGTCACCTGCAGCAGCGACGGGATAAGCAGGTAGGGAGGAGGTCAATGGGGTCATTGGCACGTAGTTGCCATCTTGGAGCTCAGCAGTAAAGTCTGATGGACCCCCTGGATTAGCCCTGGATTAAAAACAACAATTTTGGATTAGGATTAAAAAAATACAAAGTTTCTGCAAATGTTTAAAGTATAAAATTTTTAACCAGCAACTAGATTCTAGAGCCGAACCCTAATTCCATCAAAACTAAATCCAACCTTCTTTTAGTTTTTTTAGCTCATTTTGGCTGTTACATGTTTTTTTTCTCCACACTGTGTGGATTATATTCCTGTAGATTTTAGCTTAGAAGCTGTTCTGACCTTACAGGTTAGCTTTGCAAACAAAGTTCTGCAGAAAGTTTTAATACCCTTTGCATGAATGTTTTTCCTCCTCTTCTACAGATTTTCTACTTGTGTTTTGCAGGCTTTTGCTTAAATCTGCTGCTTTTTTTTCCATTTCTTCCATTTCTGCGAGTCTCAAATGTTTCTGCAATATTCAGTTAACAGGAGATGAATTTTGTTCTATTTATAAGTCATATTACATCTTTCTGCTTTAATTAAACCGTTAAATGCTCAACAGAAAGCCATTTCCTTCTTCAAAACCTAACCAACACGACAAAGTGTTTTAATTCTGACTCACCTGGCTGCAACCGGTGGCTCATTGGTGGAGGCGCTCATGGGAACATAACTTTCATCCAGATCATCATCTTCAGAGCAAAGGCTTCCCAGAGGTACCATGCCTTTATTAAACTGGGAGAAAGAAAGAACAGGAGGGAACGTCACTTAAAGATGAGCAGCGAAAGCAACGATTACGTCATTTAAAGTGGGTAACTCACAAAGTAGGTGTTGAAGCTCTCACTGAACTCAAACACAGTGGCTCTGTCAGACTGAGTCCGAGGAATGAAGACAGATTCGCTCCCTGAAACACAGATATTAACAAACTTGCATCTTAAAATGTCTGTTTATCGACATCCTCCAAAATTAAGTGAAATAAGACAAAATCAAAGGATAAGAAGTTGTTGTTTCTGCACACATTTCTGAAGAGAAAACCTGATGAGATGTGGACGCAGACGAATCTGTGTGTCATATTTCAACATCCTCCTCAGTTCAATGTTCACGCTGCTTCTTTATAGCAAAACGGTTATTGCAAAAGTAATTAACAGGCCGTGAAATCATTTCTGCACAATAACATCTTTGTTTCGTTGCAGGGTAAAGTTCTCATCTTCTTAATAACTGCAGTTCTGGTGAAATTACTCTGAACACAAGCAGGAGTTGTTCCACTAAGCATGAAATCCGCAACCTGCCATCTGAGAACAATAAAGCTTCTTAAAAGTAGTTTTCTGATCTCCTGTGAGCTTCAAAGGTCACGACAAATCTTACTCCCGCAGTGACTAAAAGTTTTAGATAAACCGTTTTAAATATGTAAGATATTTAGCACCATGGAGAGTTGTTTCAGACCACAAAGCTTTTCAATCTGATTGAAAACAAGCAATCACATAAGTTAGTTTTGAAGGTTCTAGCTTTGTTTTAGGTTGTACCTTTGTGCTACACCGCCCCCTACTGGTTTGGCATGTTTAAAACAACTTTCGGGGGGGGGGATTCGAGTTGATTCAAGTGAATGAAACCTTTTCTGAAACCAATGTGTGCAATATTATTTTTTTATATTCTTCAGTAATGATGCCGTTACCTTTGGTCAGGGTTCCTCTGCTGATGCCTTCGTCTCTCCTCTCTGGTTCAGAGTTGGCTCGTGGCAGCGCACCAGGCCCTGTGCCAACAGCGGCGATCTCTGCAGGCAGGGTGACGGCTGGAGGCTTGGGCGGCCGAGGAGGAGGCGGCGGGATGGCGGCGTGGAGCTCGGCCTGAGTCAGCGAGTCCACGCTAGGTGTAGAAGAGGGCCGGTGTGGGGGAGGCAGCTGAGGGGTGGATGCTGGACGGGGGACCTGGTAGCCACTCGTGGTGCTGGAGGGATGAGCGTTGGAGCGGTTGTCATCGCTGAGTGTTGTGGCTGCCGGACGCAGGTGGAAATCTAAGGAGTGCTTCCTGGGATGAGGGGAAGGGTGGCCGTGACACCGGGAGGCTCGTTTCTGGAAGTCGGACGTCAGGGTGGCGTCCAGGGACTGGCTGAGGGGGCTCGCCATGGCAATCATTGTCCAAGGAGCCGACCTGAACCCGGACAAGGTTGGAGGTGGAAGGCTGGTTGGAGGAAGCGAAGAAGAGGAAGAGCAGGAAGAGGAGGAAGAGTAGGTGGCCGAGGGAGGAGGGTAGAGGTTGCCACTGTAGTCCGTCTCCAGAGAGGTGGATGAGCCCAAAGCCGGCCTGGAGATAAAGGCACAAACAGGCGTTAGATTACATCAGTGACCTCTGACTGTTCTAGCCCAGTGAGACAAATGAATCCAGAAGAGAGAAATCTTTTCATCAGCGAAGGCGAACTCTCCCTGCAGCGTTTTTACAGTGAAGTGTAGCGTGACGGTGGGAGAAGTCGGCCTCGGTAGGAACCTGTGGGTGTGATCCAGGTTGAGCTCCAAATCCCTCATTCTTAAACGCAACAAGTCCAAACCCGAATCTCTCCTTGGTCTTTTGTTCTGCAGATGGTTTTATTCAGGATGAATCTTTGAGAAGTTGTTCAAACATGAATGAGTCTCAGAAATAAATGGTTTCTTCAGTAAAACCTATAGCGACTTATTTGCTTATCCTTTAGTTTAATCACCATTTCCTTTGCTCCACTGGCAAAATTCAGAATCGTAAGATTGAAACCAGTTTTAGTTAGATGCATATCTTGGTAAAGATCCCAACATTTGAATGATTATTAGAGCTTGATTCACTAATTTCACACAAGTTTGGACCAAAATCTGTTTTATTTAGTCTGGCTGGTTGTTTACCTGGTGTGAGTCTGGCAGTTTGATAGCCACAGGTAATCATCCTCTGCACTGCTGTCATGCTCCAGATGACGCACACCCACAGGGTCGTATGGGGGCGGGATGGACCCCGATACCATGGTGGTCGTAGGCGTGCCTCTGGTTGCGGTCACGGAGGTGGAGGCAGAGTTGGACCTTAACTGTCTTTCTGCAGCTAAAGGGAGAATAAAAGCAGTTAAATCTGCACAAATTAAAAAATATGCAGCGCATAAATTATGCAGCCAAAACATTGTTGCTACTTTTCCAAACCACATTTTTAAAGTAACCGAGTTGTCCGTTTGATAAGACGTTTCTCATCATCACCTCCCATAAAACACGACATCTACATTTAATGACATGTTTATTTGGTATTATTTAATTGCTGATTATTAGCGGAGCGTCTAGTTCAGGATTTGGAGGTTGGGAGTAAAAGCAATAGGCGGAAAAACTCCTTTGTACCCACAGAAACCAGATCCCTCAGTTTGTGACCTACCACTCTGTTTTTTATATTTATTGTGCTTGCGTGCTTTGTCTGTCTCCAACATTGTCTGTGCACTTTTATGCCATTTTGAATGCTTGAAATGCCTGGTTGAGAAACAAATATTCCCTTTGAGGATAATAAAGGAACTGAACTCAACTGAACTGAATGGGGCGGAAAGAGAAGTTAGGAGACTCCGAACATGGCAGAGCTTTTCAGAAACTGTTGATATGCAGAAACTCGGGTTAAAACAGAGAATATTCTGGAAAGGGAAGACTCTCCAGTGAGCAGCTGATGTGTGAATAAAACTGTCTTTTTGATGCCAGAGGGAAAATCATGATTGGTTTAAGATGATAAACAAAACAATTTGGTGACTGATTTTTTTTTCAAATATTATGGTTCTATATTTCGATAAAGAGCTTCTTCTACTCCAAATAAACAGATTTCATGGAAGAGTCGCTGACAAACGTGCAGCAGCTGCACGACGACATCATGTCTCCAAAAAACAATCATCCAATCGGTGGATTTTCCACAAATAATTTGGAGCAAGAAAAATCTGCGAATGCGTGAATTTGTGAATATTGATTTGCAAATCCAGCTTAACAACAAAGAGAAGATTATAGTATAATTTAGTCAATCATGAGTCTGAAAGTAAGGAAGCTGAAAGAAGCTGGTGTGCTATTGAATCTCATCTGAGTCAACCCAAAGGACCTTTCATCCATATCTTTCTCCCTTTTTCTCCTCCTACCAGTTTTCACACTGACTCAATCGCTGCCCACACAGACAAACTAAAAGCAAGCAAAACGCAGCAAACAGGACATTTTGGATTTGGCTGAACTCCTGTATTTTGTCGTACCGTCATCGGTGGGGTTGAAGCCACACAGGAGGCAGATGGACGTGACCCAGCGGTTCATGTCCTCCTCAGACTCGGCCACCAGGTACCAGGTCCTCTCCTCGGTCCTCAGGTCGAAGACGAAGCTGCTCTCCAGCTCCTTCTTGGTGAAGGAGAGGCCGGCGTCGACCTGGAGGAAATGAGGAGAGTCGGGTTTCTGTAAGTCTGTTAAAGCATTTATAGATAAATCTTCTGCTTGAAGATTTCCTTCAAGCAGAGACTTTCAGGTAATGAATAACTCTTCAGGTTTTCATAATCTGTTAATTTTTCCCTTGTACTTTGGCTGCTTTTTGTTTTTAATTCACCAAGACATTGTTTTTGTTTATTTGGTTTCCTTTAATTGGGATCAAAGAGGCTCCGAATCTAAATGAAGTTACAATCACATCTTTGAGAAGTTGGTAAAGAATCAATTTAAAATGGGATCTTTGATCCAGAATGACATGACGATGGCATATTTTGGTGTTTTTTACCAGCTCACACAGATTCAAGTTGATGGTCCCAATCGGGCGCCGGGAATGCTGGTTCTTGTAGTACTGCAGAACGTCTGGTTCTCCACTCAGCCGCCCGCTACGCAGGACGAACCACCGCCTTTTCCATGCCTGGTGAAAAACAGTCAATACAGAGATGTTGAAGTTTTTGTCCACTTAATAAAATGTAACATTAAAATAAAATCTGCTCTTCTATTTTTGACTGAGCATATGGCAGTAAAGTTATTTCTTTATTTCCATTTCACTCAGAGCACAAGTAACATTTTAGACCCTTCGTTCTTTTGTTTAGGTTGAAAATTGTGCAATTTTGTTTTTAAATCATTTTCCACAAACACCAGCAAAACAAACAAAGAAATATTCTCTCCTCTTTTTACAAAGGATTAGTTTTTTTTTTCCTGAATTGTGGAGGTAAGATCGGCTGACCAAAAGTGCTGGGTTCAGCTGCGGTTGCTAGTTCAGGGATTGTCCTTCTGCTTTGTGACTTAACAATCCAGATGTCTCATTTTTCAGACACCAAAAACAGTAACAGAGTCCTAAAATCTAGTTGGGTGGCAGTAGAGACCCAAATGGCACAAAAACAAGAACATTTTGCATAATAAGTGCCGTTTAACATCCTGGTTTGTCCTCTGTTCTGTTCGGTTTAGTTCAGTGCCATGCTCACACCGGGTCTGTTAAGTTTTTACAAATAATTCATCATCATGCCACACTTTAGTGGTTTTCTGCAGTGGCTCTGCAAGCACCTTCCTGACAGCTTATTTATTTTTATTTTTCCAAAACGTCAGGTAACGTTTGCTGATTGAACTAGTTTTATGCAGGTGAAACTAATCAATTACTTTTTGAATCATAAAGCTTACAGATTGTTGCTGTAGACTTTAATTTTGGACGTCATAAACAAAGTGTCTATTGATTAAGATCAGATTAAGAATGTTTTTCATTTTTACTCCAACACACGTCACTATTTTGACTGAAGTGGGGTTTAACACTCCAGTAAACATAAAAACTAAACTAAACACACATGCAGTGAGCTGGTCAATGTAACGCTGCTCTCTGGATGCTGTCATCACACAACAGGCATTGTGGGTACAGACCATCTTCCTCTGAATTACACCTCATATTTTAGACATGACTCAGACTGTGTGTGTAGGTAGAGTGTGACCGTGATTACTTAAAGGCGTGAAGCAGAGCACGGAGAAACATTTTAAAGTGAATTTGCAGCTTATATTCAGAGGAAAAGGATTCGTTTTTAAAAGCTTTTTTGTGTTCAGCTTCAACTTGTCCAGAAACAGAAATCCCTTCTGATCCCTGCTGACCAACGTTTCAAAACAAAACCAACAGGGTTCCACAGAAACTCACCAACTGTGTTCATGTGATGAAAGTTTGAGAGGCGCATTCCCCTTTCTGCCTCTGCAAACACAGACAGGAAGAAGCTGGACAGGAAATGCTGGTGAGAGTCGGCTCTGGAAGCCAGCGCCTGTTTATTCTCTTTCCCCCTCAGGCTGTTTGATAATCGTTTGACTTCAAGCTGCTGGGCGGCTGCTGCTGCTGCTTGCATGAAAATGTTTTCCTGCACCTTCCAAGTTGAGTCGTTCGTATTTTGATCCAGGTTCATTTTCACCGTTGAATTATTTGACACTTTGGTTAAGATGTGGAAACAATAATGTAATTTGGATGCAAACATTTTTCAGCCCTGCAGCTCAGTTTGTTTATTTGCTCAAGTTTCACTATGAATTATTTGTTTTGCTTTTATAAAATGTCAGTTTGAAATGATAACGGCTTATATTTTACTGCATTTTGTTGTTGGAATAATCAGCGTATCGTTTTCACTGAGGTTAATTAAATGTTATTAGTTTTTGCACTAAGCATTGGATCTCCAGGAAAAGTTTTAAACCATATAAAATGATCTATTCTATATTAGTAATTCAATGTTACCTTTTGAACTAGTTGAGCTACTTTCATTTAGTGAATAATTAGATTTTTATCGTCTGCTGGATTTTACGAAAGTAGTTTTAAAAGCCAGTTTTCTTTTTCAGCTTCTGAGTAAGAGAGAAGATTTCAGCAATAAGTACACTTGGAGTTAATAAGTACCAAAACAAGACTGTTTCTCTAACAGGTCTCATCTGGGATGACTTTATTACTGTTTTTTTGGCAGATTTTTCCTCAAACCTGAGATTCTTTTTAGTGCTTTACTCAGTCAGAAAACGTCTCACTCTGTAAACACCCAAACAGTCTGCTCAGTCAGGAAATGACAAAACATGAAACTCACCAACATTTCAGACATAAAGAACACTTCTTTGAGTTTTAGGTCTTGTAAATATTGTTTGTTTTTTTTCCTAAAAAAAGAGAAGAGTGACAGCGACTCTTTAGATAAAATCAGGAAACAATCAGACGGTTTGGTTTTTGGTTTCACCTACTGAAGACAATACATCCATATCATCAAACATTTCACTCCCTGATCTTTTTTTACTTCAACTAAACCCCCAGGATGGACTGATGGCGCAGTCACTCATACTACTGCAACAACACATTTTGGTATCATTGTCCCAACTCTGACCTATGACCCTACAACTCTCAACTTTTGAGATGAGAGGTGCAATTGTCTCCAAGAAACGGTGCAGGAAGTCCTGTTTTTGTTGTCTGGGGTTTGTGAAAACGTCTCAGTCTGTAACAGTTTGTTAGTTAAACAAAATAAATCAAATTAGCAAGCAGCTGATTAATACGTCTGGTCTCTGCTAAAACCTTTAAAATGGAAATATCATCCCGAGAGGAAGATTTGAAAGTAATAATGATGAACTCTCTTCCTGTGACAGTCTCCTCAAGCCCCCTAATGTTTCCTCCTTCGACCTTTGAACTCAGGAAGAGGGCACAATGGCTCTAAAATAACACTTCCTCCTTCCTGCCGCTAAACTAAAATTAACACTGCATCTTAATTTGAAAGTTTCCCCCCATCTATTTGCTCTTGACGCTGAAACGATTCAAACAGCAGACAGGTGACCATAAAACACTTCACTGTTCTGCAGAGACACGAATCCAAACGATTTGGGTCCTAGTCAGTAAAACCAAATAATAATAATAAAAAAAGAAAACAGATACAAATTTCAGTTTGAAGCGAAACTGACAGATTTTTTCACATTTCAGTTTCTGAACCAAACATGGTCTTAATGAAAAATTGTACCTTAAGTTAGTACTAATGTACTCTATATCAATTAACTTCAAAAATAACTAAATGTTTCAGTTTAGTGAGGGATTCCCATTAGGAGGTGATTTTGTATCAAGTCAGCTCATCAGAAGGTTATGTCAATACAGTTCTGCAACACAGGAATTATTCCTTTTTTTAATTTTAATTATATGTAACTTTTGAATATTTTTCTTAAAGTTTTCATTTTGCTGTAACAGTAAATCATGAGACATAATCTGTGAAAATACCAAACGCCTCTGCCTCTTCCCTCTTCTTCTAGAGATGAACCGCTCAGTCAGAACCCACCAATCAGAGCCAGGAGGAGAGCTGTCAATCATGCTCATGTACGCACTGCTTAATGTGCAAGTCATAGAAAAACAAGTTACAGTTAAAGGATAACTGTTAATATGTTATCAGCATCTACCCTGCACATTCATGGCACGCTCTGTCGTTGTGAGTAGCGCCTACACGAGCATTATTGACATGCCAAGAAACCTCCTTGTTCTGATTGGTTGTTTCTGACATATTTCTGCAGATAGCATGTGGATAACTTGATTTTTTTCACCCAGATTCTGTTTTCCTGTCAGGACGTAACAAATAATTACTGCAGCTTTAAGAGTTTCAAACATGGACATTTCTAGATGTTTCTTGTGTTACTGTGGCATCCCTCTGTGGAAAACATGATGTCCAGCAGAGCAGGACCACACTGTCCAGATCAGGAGGACCCATCCTGAAAACCCAAGCCAAGAACCACGTCAGCGTTCTGGTTTTTGGATGTGATCAGCCCATCTCAGTTTGCTTTAAAAAGCTACGAGGAGGAGATGAATCTAAAAACACTGCTTGAGGTAGAAAACAGCCTCATGCAGTGCAAGAAATGCACAACATTTGCAGATTTGTCTCGTTTCTGAGGCCCTCAGGGGCGTGTCTGCAGCATATTTGCGACTGTAGTTGAAGTTACAAAATCTACCTCGTCCTCCTCGGCGTTTCTGTGTTTCCAAATGTCTACGAGAGCTGGGCCTCTTTTTTCCCCAAACAGGCCCAGCTGAGAGCGATTAGTTTATTACATAACACAGCGGCACACACACTGAGGTTTCCAGAGAGGGAACTTTAACCACAGTCCTAACATGAACGCACGGCCGCTGCTGCCATTACACTGCAGATCTTTGATCATGTGTTGGCAACAGAAACACAGCGGGATGGAGTGTGTTTATACACACCCTGCACTGTGGACGCCGTCATGTAAATGTCTGTTTTCCCTTTTTCTTCCTTGTTTTTCCCTTATAAACTCAAACAACTGTGAATATAATTGAGATGGAATCAAATCTTGCTAATTTGTTTATTTATATGTTGTTTTTTAAAACTGCAATGATCTCAAATTCTCAACGTTATTTGTCTCCATTCTCATATCGAGTCCAAATATGCTTTTTTTCATGTCATTATTCCTGCCAGACTTCCCTTCCACACACTTTCTGAGGAAGGAAGGCAAACGACAATAGAAGAGGAAGAGAAAGTGAATGAGTGAAAGAGAGAGAACCGGAGAGTTGTGATAAGAAAACAGCAGCTTTCTCTGGAAACATGGAGATCATGAGGAAACATGGGAAGGAGAAAGGAGATTAGCTCAACTCACTGGTGAGGCATGTCAGAAATGTGGGGTGTGTGTGAAGCTGCTGCTGCTTCTCTGGGAAGGGAGTCCAGCTGTTGTCCGACAGAAAACAGCATGTGGTAACACAAATGTTGCTTTTTTCTCTGTGTGTTTTTTTATGTAGGAGAGGAGAAAACTGGAAAAACCTGAACAGATCCAAGGTTTTAGCTTTAAACCCAATTTGCATTTAACAGATGCTCTCCACCTGTGTGTGTAGAAAGTCTTAGATCAGCGTTTAACAACCTTTTACTGATGATCCACAGACCAAAGTGAAGTTTAATCATGGTAAAACATTGCAGCAGCTGTCAGCTGCACTCCATGTTTAACTGCTTTACAACTGGGACTTGAGGAAATGACTCCTTGTGTCAACAGTGATGACACACACACACACACACACGCACACACACACTCAGAACTTCAGAGTTTAATTTAGAAAACACTCAGGAGAGAATCCCCGAGACGTGATGTTTTCAAAGGAAATGTTACTCACATAACGGCGCAGTTTTTTCTCTGGAGGTGATTTTCGCAGCCAGCCTTCACACACCACGTCTCCTGCTCCGCTCATCCTCAACCGGGTCAGGTGTCAAATGAAAATATCCAATCTGTCAACCGGGATGTCAACCAGGCACTCAGAGACTGAAGAGGAGTCAATGCAGGTCGATTGGAGAAGTCATCAGACGAACAACCATCAGTTTGACTTGCAGTCCAAGTTCAGAACAAGAGAGTTTTCCAAAATGCCAGGAATTTGAATGAGCTTACTTCTACGTGTTGTTTCCCTTCCTCCTGTGATCCAGATGAATCTATCACATCTCATCCCCACATGGCCGAGTCGCTCCAGGTCGGCGAGTCACACCTCCTCCTCAGTGGGTTTCCACTTCCCGGCAGAGCCACGCCCTCCTGTCCCTGCTGCTGCTGCTGCTGCTGCTGCTGCTGCTGCTGCTGCGATAACCAAACACAATGACTCGGCTCGGACATTCCTTCCCTGCTTTTCTCTCCTCCCTGGTTTTTCCACTCCTCCTCTTCCTCACTCCTCCTCCACAGCCAAACAGGAAACTCCCCCTGTGGACCTGAATGTTTGGAGGAAGGAGTTTCCTCATGTTACATGGATTATGACTAAATCGTACAGCCTGTAGGTCTGCAAAATGATCATAAAGTGGATTAAAAAAAGCCTCAAACATGCAAACAGAAATTCCCCAAGGAAATATTAACACAATGTAGTTTAATTTATCTTAGTCAACACTTTATATGTGTTATTTTTTAAACTAGGAATTATAGCAAATGGTATTAAAAAATTTTGTTGTTGTTTTTTTACATACACGCAATATTAAATACAAATATTTTGAAAAAAGCATAATGTAAAAAAAAAAACATATTTTCACAATTTCATTAGCTTCACATTTTTCAATTTCCTCTTTTGTCCAACTCATAAATAATTTCCTTCTGATTTTTGATTCTGGTTTTTGAATATTGAATTAAACTATATTCAATTCTTATTTTATTTTTAAAATATTTTAACATCTGATTTCTTATTCTTTTGGGCATTTTCTTCCAAACTCTCAGTTTTTTAATATACTTATTGTCCTGTTATATATAAGAGTTAGTCTTTGTTACTATAGTAGAAAACCAACTTTAATTCAAACGCAACATAAACTATAGCACCACCTAGTGGCAGGATGTGTGAACAGGTTGGAGAATAAAAGTCTTATTTCCCCCATTTTTAGATTATTCTTTTCCTCTGAAGTATTGCATCTTTGGAATATTTATTATGAAGTAGCAATCGAGAATGAAATTACAATATATTGCAAAGTAAAATAATTACAGGAAACCTAAATGAAGTGATGTAAAAAGTTTTTAAGATGGTAGATTTGTGTGTTGCGGTTCTGTCTCTGATAATCGTCTTTTACTTCAGTGTTTCTGTCCTGCTGGTTCTGGTTCTCCCAGGAGAACCAGGTTGAAACGCAGGGCGTTCTGCACATTCTGGCTGTTCTGGTCACGAGGTTTGCTTGTAATGTGGTTCGGGAAGTCGTTTTTATGCTCAGAAAAAGACCTAGTTGTGTTTTAATAGTTGTGTGTGGCTGGGGTAACGTTCCTGGCAGTCTAGTTTTACCGCTTCTGGAAACAGGAAACTTTACTGGATGTATATTTTAGGCAAGAAGACTGAAGCCTTTACAGAGTAACAGAACTACAACGGCATGTTGGGGCAGATTGGAAAAAATTGAGAAAAGAAAATCTGAATTTTTAGATTAATCTCATAAATTTTCTAGAAAAAAACAAGAACATTTCTGAGCTTAAAAAGCCAGAAATGTTCATGTTTTGAAATTTTAAGTTTTTGCAGATCCCGCACATTCTGGACACAAACTTTTACTTTCAGTCGCTACAGAGAGCTTTTTGCTGGATTTTTGCTGTGGCCAGCATAGTCAGGATATACAATAATTCCTGCAATCCAATGTTATTTCCTTTAATGTTTATATATTTATACTTCGTTGTCAGACTATAAAACTAAAGAGAAATTCCTGGTTTATGGACACAATCAACCACAAAAGCTGATTCAGATCTACATGGAGACATTTCCCTTTTATTTATGAAGTCATTATAAGTAAATTTACTTCTTTAATTTTCAGCGTTTTGCTCAAACTATTGATCACGTTAATTGCAGTTTTGCGTCGATACAGAATGCAAATTAAAGTACAACTTGAGTGGAATTTGCCTGTCGAAACGAAGCATCTGGAAACAATCATAAGTCGAGCGTTTGCTTACCAGTATGCAAAAAGTCACACAGAATTTCCTCCAGCTGCCGTTCAAACGCTGCCCTGACGTTTCAAAGCACTTCGTATTGGATCAGGGATCAGCTGAAGGCCATTTGTGGCTCCGCAAGGAGAAAAGAGGAGAATTAACAAGGTGAGTGATGTGCACTTTATTAAGACATACTTTGGTTTTGTGTGTTATTTTCAATTAAATTTAAACTATTTACACATTCCGATGCAATTCCTAACATTTAAAATCTCTAAAAGATATAGTGTTGGTACAAATCAGTTCTTTAGTTTGGATTCAAAAGCTGTGATAATATTCCTAAAAATCACAAAGCTTCATTTCTTCGATATGTGAAGGTTCAAATTAAATATTTAATGGTTCCTGCTTTGTTTCAATTGCAGATTTATGTTCAAATTCTAAAAATATAAAAACAATTTCACTGTTTAAAGTAGGGGCATTTATCCTTAGTGTGAAAATGTATTTTATTATGACAAAATGTATTTATTACCAGATTCCAATTAATGAAATACAATAAATTGTTCTCTTTACTATTTTTCCAATTGTTTATTCAATAACTGGATTAATTAATATCAATACATTTTAAAATATGATTCAAAAATAACTTTTTATGTGAATCCTGTTTCTAATTTTTTAATATTTTTAAATTTTATCTTATTTTTATTTCCTTTATTCAACCAGGGAAGCCCCGTTGAGATCGTTGAAATTATTGCGGTTGTGCTGCATAATCAGACATTTATTTAAGTCATGCTATGATCACTTTGGTTTAAGTTATTTCCTGTTTTGTGTTTGTATTCCTTCTCTATCTCTTCTGTCAGCTCAGTCATTTCTTATTTTTGGATTTTGGATTTGTTTTGTTAGATTTTTTTCCGTTTAGAATTTCTTCTGGATCCATTTTCTGCATTTTTGTCTTCGCATTTAGCTTCCCAATTGTCTCCCTTCCCAGCTGCAGTCACTTACCTGGATGCAGGAAAACACCTGAAACAAACAGGACAGAGATCAACATCTGAGCCGGAAAACTTTCTGACATTTTGTAAACATCATAGCACTTGTTTGGTTTGCTTTGATATAAACTTTATCACAGTATCTTTGAACTGGGTTGCATTGAAGTGAACTGAGTCAGACTGCATTTTAAAGGGGACCTAATGCAAAATTCATATTTTTAACTTATTTGCATTTCTGTTTGAGTCTCAACTGCTTCTACCTTCCTTTAAAAAAAAAAAAATCACCCAGCTGTTTTTGGTGACACGTTTGTGGTTTTCGGTGTCTGGAAAATGAGCCGTTTTTACGTCTGTTACCTCACAACCCCAGCAGCATTACCTAGCAACACATTTGATCAGCTGGACTTACTGTATGCGCTGTACAATGGCTGCTGGAAAAAAAGAAGTGTTTTGTTGTTGACTTACCAACAAGAGCCACTTGCTGTATTCTTGTTAGTTGTGCAGGAGGCTCCATTTCTGCTTTTCAAAGGCATGCAAGTGTATAACTGGGAATCTGCAGCCATTTTCCTGTAGAAGGTGTAAACAATGAGTTGGTGGGTTAGCTTAGCTTAGCTTCTTTGGATTTAAAGTGATGAGACTCAAAATAGGCTGAACTGATTAGACTAAAATCTTATCTCTGAATGACGTGGTGCAAAAACTATACTGAATTTTGTATATCGACCTATCCCGACCAGTTTGCTTTTAAATTGTGTTTGGGTCCATAATCTAACTCTACAGAGAACTGGATTATCGTTCAGAATATCTGATAAACAAACCTGTATTTGGTTCTTCCAGATGATAAACTCATCAGTAACCAATGACTCCTTCCCTCCACACCTTTCCTCCGTCGACTCCTTCCTCCTCTCGTATGTCCGGTGCATCATCTCCACCTCACAGTCCCGTCTCTTCTTGGCGTTCTACGTCTTCCACATCGTCCTCATCCTCCCTCCCTGCGTCTTCATCTTCTACCACTGTCTCAGCCAGCAGTGTCGGCAGACCTCCGCCTCTGCACCAACCAATCCCTCTGACAACTTCAGTTGCCACGTTGCTGTCATGGAGGTGATCAGTCTCTGTGGGTTCGCCATCGGCTGCGTCGCCATTATGAAGCAGGACTTTGACTTGATGTTGGCGGGGATATTAGTGTCCAAGTTCACTTGGTACGGAGAGACGTTTTTTCACATCTTGACATGTTTGGAGTGTTACCTCGCTGTCGTCCATCCCTTCATCTACCTGAGGGTCAAAGGTGACATGGAAGTCAGGATCAAAATTATCTCTACAAGTTGTGTCTGGGTGCTGTGTGTGGTGGGGGCGGTTCTGACGCAGAAGGAAGTCTACATTTCGGTAGATCTAGGCGCCATGATTTTGTCTTTGGTTGTCATTTCTTTCTGCTGCCTCTCTGTTCTCTGTGTTCTGGTCCGGCCGCGACCCGGAGAACCGGCGGGGAGTAAAGAAAAGGTCGACCCGTCGAAGCTCAGGGCGTTCTACACCATTGTGGCCTTGCTAGCAGTGCTGCTGATGAGGCTGGCCTGGGGTCTGGTCTGGACTGTGCATGAAGCGTTAGGAGGAAATATCCAATGTCTGATTGTGACCTGCACTTTCTGGTTTAACCTGCCCAGCAGTTTGGTTTTACCTCTGATGTTCCTCCAGAGAACAGGGAGGTTACAGTGCTGCAAGAAAAACGTCCCGCAAAAGAAGGAAAATACAATAGAACATATCTGAACATGAAATTTACAACATGCAAATAAATTTAGATGTATTCTGTTTCCAGGCAGAGAGTTGAACTAATTCATTTCCATCATCATCAAAAAAAAAGAAAAAAAAAAACATCTAAAAGAGCAAAATACATATTTAATTATTTTTATTTACCCTGGAACGTTTTGTTATATTTTATATATTTTTTTCAAAATATTTAAGCATTTAACGTGAAATATCTCAGTTCAGACATTCATATTTGAAGTTATTATTGGTAAAATATTGTAAAGCTAAACAACTATGAGATCTTAAAAAACACATCAGTTTGTCGTCTACTTAGATTCTGTTTGCTTTGATAATAAACTGCATTATAGATTAAGGAACTAATTAATTGTCTTAAATGTTAGATCTACTGACGTAAATCCACTTTGAATTGTTTGGTATTTACTGAATATTAATTTGAATTTTGCACGAGATCTTAAAACATTTT